TTTGTAGTTCAATAGATTATTGTTATGCATATATTCACACTTGAAGATTAATTTTTTTTTTTTTATTGGAGAGGCAGGTTTACAGAGAGAAGAGACAGGGAAAGATCTTCCATCTGCTGGTTCACTCCCTAATGGCCACATTGGCCAAAGCTGAGCTCATATAAAGCCAGAAGCTAGAAATTTCTTCTGGCTCTCCCATGTAGATGCAGGGTCCCAAAGTTTTGGGCCATCCTCTACTGTTTTCCCGGGCCACAAGCAGGGAGCTGGATGGGAAGTGAACTAGCCCCCACATAGGAATCCTGGTGCTTGCAAGGGGAGGATGTAGAGCCATTGCAGTGGACCCAGTAGTCACATGTTTTTAAAGAAGCTATTATAAAGCTGATTACATTCTGAAAGAATCGGCACTTAGTGGAGCACTGCTGAGTGTGGTTTGCTTGGCATAAAGTCCTCATGTTTAAAGCTGGCAAATAGCAGGCCCTTCCCTTTCTCTGTCTCCTTTCAGTGTCATTTATTTGTTTTTATTTGTGGTTTGCTGAAAGGTTGAGATGACGTTCTGCGAAGACTATGACAGAATGAAGGAGTTACTGAGTAGAGCAGGATCTCAAATGTCGTTCTGTGCAGTTCCTCAGCAGAGGACGAGGCCATGGGGCACTTAGGTCAGGAAGCGTGAGGTAAGGTTTTACTGTGTAGCGAAGGAGGCGGCGCTGGAGTAGCTCCTGTCCTCTGGTCCTAGAGCCTAGTCCGAGCATGTCCCCGAAGTGGCCGCTGCCTGCGTCAGCTCGGCCTCCCACAAGCCTTCCACAGCAGCTTGCTTTTCACGATCCTAAAGGCTGGGGAGTGTGGAGGTCAGGATGCCAGCATGCGTGGTTTCTGATGAAGTCGTCATTCCCAGCTTGTAGGGAGAGGGTTGTCTGTCCTCACCAGCTGCAGGAAGTATGTAGAAAGGCAGAAAGAGCCCTCTGGCATCTTTAGGGCGCTGATGACTCCAGCTGAGTCCAGTTTTCTCTGAATATCGTCCTGCTGGCACCTGTGCCTTCATCATAGAACATTGTAGAGGGAACAGTTCGGTGTGTAGCAAGCGGTTAGTCTTAATTTCTGCCCTGGAGTTGAATCGGCTTTAAGTTTGTACATTTTGACTGAAATCTGTAAGAACCACAGTTTACTCTCAAACTTCTTGTATGTGTTTTCACAGTTTCTTGGCTTTCTACAAAAGTCTCCTATAGTAGAAATGCATATACTCAGAGGAATCCACAAGATGAGCCAGTGGTGTATAGAAAAATGATGCTGAACTATCTTTTTTTAAAATTGATATTTGCTGTGAGCTGCCTGTGTGTGTGTACACTTGGGGGGTTTATGTTGAACACCTTCACCAATAGAGAAACTGTAATCGGAGTTTTGAGACTATTGTTCCAGAGTCCCTTTTCATATAGTTCTATCATATTTCTACTTTGGTTGTGTATCGCTTAACCAAAAGTATTTTCAGATTTCAGAATATTTGCATAGATTTTACTAATTGAACATTCTCAGCTTTAAAAAAAATCGGAAACCTGAGGCTTTTTCAGCATCATGCTTGTAAATAGGTTGCAGATTTCAGAGAATTTCAGAGTTTAGATTTTTGGGTTAAGAATGCTCATTCTGTATTAGAAAATAAAATGAAAAGAATATCAGGTCATCTAGAACACAAAGCCTGCTAATGGCTTGTCATACTAGAATGTATGGTTGTGCTAGGGCCTGGCATGATAGTCTAGTGACTAAATTCTCACCTTGCATGCACTGAGATCCCATATGGCATCGGTTCGTATCCCGACTGTTCCACTTCCCATCCAGCTCCCTGCTTGTGGCCTGAGAAAGCAGAGGATGACCCAAAGCCTTGGGACCCTGCGTCCATTTGGAGACCTGCAGGACTCTGGTTCCTGGTTCCTGGTTTCAGATTAGCTCAGCTCCGGCCATTGTGGCCACCTGGGAGTGAGCCAGCAAATGGAAGACCTTTGCCTTTGTCTCTCCTCCTCTCTGTATATCTGCCTTTCCAATAAAAAATAAATAAATCTTTAAAAAACAAAAAAGATTGTGCTAAACTGTTGCTCCTAAAGTGTTACTTGCCCAACAACTCAGTGATTAAACTAGGTCAACATAAAGCATTCAAATTTTACTGTTGTTAATGATTTTGGTCATAAATTCTGTCAACTCATTTCTTTAAGAACATGACTTCTTGGAAGAGCTTTCAGCCAATTTTCCCCAAAACTACTCTGCAGCCTCAGGTTTTGAGTTAAATTTTATTTTTTCATTTTTCCCACTTCTCAAAGCTGTGTGGGAGTTAAGGCTTTTATTCTGCCTGTTGTGCAGGCTTGGAAAGCAAATGTATTTTCTAGAGCAGTTGTGAGTCTAAAGGCTACACAGGCCCCTCTGGCGGCTGACAGTTCGTTTTGAGGAAGGTGCTCTGGGCCCGGTGTGATGGCATAGTGGTTGAGGTCCTCGCCTTGAACGTGCCGGAATCCCAGTTGGGCACCAGTTCTAATCCCAGCAGCTCCACTTCTCATCCAGCTCCCTGCTTGTGGCCTGGGAAAACAATCGAGACCCAGAAGAAGCTTCTGGCTTCGGTTTGGCTCAGCTCTAGCCGTTGTGGCCGCTTGGGGAGTGAGCCATTGGATGGAAGATCTTCCTCTCTGTCTCTCCTCCTCTCAGTATATCTCACTTTGTAATAAAAACAAATAAATCTTAAAAATAAAAATGAGAGAGAAAGGTTCTCTGGTAATGGATATAGAAGTATGGTATGGTGGACAGTTTTTGGTTCTGGAGATGAGGAAACAACGCCTCCTCTTACTTGTCCATGATATAATGATCTATTTACAATGCTTATAACTTTTCTTTTTTTTTTTCTTTTCTTTTTTACAGATTTATTTGTTTAAAAAGGTAACAGAGAAAAACAGGTCTACCAGGCACCAGTTCACCCCCTGGGGATTGTGATGGCCAGTGATGGGCCAGGACAAAGCCAGGAGCGTGGTGCTCCATTCAGGCCTCTGATGGGGCAGCAGGGCCAGGACCGTGTTTGGGGGCCATCTTTTGCTGCTTTCCCAAGAACATTATGAGGGAACTTGATCAGACGTAGAGTGGCTAGCACTCAAATTGGGTCTCTGATATAGGATGCCTGAGTCACAGATGATAGCTTAACCCATTACACTAAAATGCTGAACTCTTGAACTTTTTTTTAAATCTTTTTTTTTTTTAAATACTTATTTATTTTTATTTGAATGGCAGATTTTACAAAGAAGAGACAAAGTCTTCCATGTACTGGTTCACTTTCCAGGTGGTCACAATGACTGCAGGACAACCAAACAGGAGCCAGGAGATTCCTCTGGGTCTCCCACATGGGTGCAGGGGCCCAAGGACCTGAACCACCATCTTCTGCTTTCCCACACACAGGCAGGGAGCTTGACTGGGAAGTGGGGCAGCTGGGACATGAACACTGGTGTTTAATTTTAACAAAAGTAGTGCGATCATTTCCCTCACTTCATAACAGTTTTGCAATTAATTTTAAGTGATTATGGTTTTAAGTGTTGGAAAAGATACTGCCAAGATACTAAAAAAAATAAATAGGGACTATTAGAAAAGCAGAAACAAGTGCTTCATGAGAAATGCTGTTACGTATATTTACATGTGTGTATGCGTCTAGACTAAGTAAAAGAAGAGAAAATTGCTTGCCCTGTGATAGCTCCTCCCTGTTTGTATGTGGCTTCACATGTCTGTGTTTTTCATCAGCACTCTTCAGGGGTCCTTTTTTCAGATTCAGCCTCAGATCTGCTCTTGCAGAATTTCTGCTCTCCTGTCTTGACCTACTGTGAGCAATATTTGAGCAGCCGTCTCTCAGCAGAGGAAGATAACTTTCTCTGAGTCAGCTTTAATTTTTGTAAGGAGTAAGGCAAAAGACAGGGCTGCTTTAGGGGTAATTGTTAGGGAATGAAAGGACTGTTGATGAGAGACTAGAGGCCTGGGTGCAAGGGCTGGGGTCATAATCCTACTTTGTCTTTTACCAGTGTCTTTTGTCCAGGGCGCTGAAAGGGCTTAACAAGATCGGGTCTGAGTAATAATATTCTATGCTTTATTGGATTTTTGGAATTTGCTGGCGGTTACAGTGAAGGCCCTGAAAAAAGAGAATATGGTATAGTGGCATGAAAGGAAATGATCTAGATATTATAATTCCTTACTTAGGGCTTTGACTAAAAGACTAGTCTGGTGAAAGTTGGTGTATTTAGGCAAAATATTGTTTGTCATTTTAAATTGGGCTGGAAATCCTGCCCTTTCCTTCCTCACCTTGGCACTTGATAACTGGCTGCTGGTCCTAAGAAGAAGGGAAAAATGAACCCCCAACATCATCCCCATGACTTTAAGACTCTTTCCTTGGAGTAGAATGCTCCTGTGTTCTGATTTTTGTTCGGCTTTTTAATTCTTAGTATTCGTACCTGTAAGTTAGAAGCTGTGCGTTTCAGTGAACACCAAGTCCAAGCTCTTACCTCAGGAGCTTGATTTCTTGTAAGTCTGTGCACTTCTGAGTAAAATGATACTCAGAATCTGACTCACCTCTTCATGCTGTGAAAACAAATACTAGACAGCGTTTATGGATGCAAGTGACTATTATTTAAAATGAAAGTGAGCTTTTTGTGTTGAGTTGAGGCTGTTTGCTTGGCAGTACTTGATGACTGATCTGTGCATACTGGTTCAGATTTTATTTCAGTTTCCTCTTCCCCATCTGAAAAAAAAAATTGCCAGCTGCTCAGTGAATCAAGGTCAAGGGATGGCAGTGACTTTCCCAATATGTAACCCTTGATGGAACTGAGACACAGGGGAAAGAAATCTGATGTGTTTTTTGGTAGCCGGGAAACCTTATTAAGCATAAAGAAAAAAAAATTTTTTTGTAAAAGTGATAAAACCTGGACATTGTTACATTGTTCTTATCCCAGTTCTTGTCTTTCTCAAGTTAATTGCTTTCTTTTCCCCAAATTCAGGCTGGCTGAAGCAAACGTCTTTCAAGATGTCCAGCAAAGGGAGCAGCACGGATGGGAAAACAGACTTAGCTAATGGTAAGAGGCCAAAATGAAAGCAAAGCTGTTACTACCAACTGAGGTTCTGCTTCTGCACCAAGACAAAGTGGAAGCTGGATTTTAATAGAGGGAAGGAAGCCTTCCTGTGTCGTTCTGAGTGTAGGAAACCACACAGGAAACATCTTGGACTATCTGGCATTTTGTTCATTCAGATTTCATCTGATTGTTTTGAGAAGACTAATAACAGGGCTGTATTTCTGAGTGCTTAAGTGATTGGGATTCTGAAAGATTGTAAGGGTAGGCAGAACCTTGGAAATGCTGTTAATAAAAGAAAAATAAGAGTGGCATTGGGAAGTGGGAATTTTGTGAAATATGAAGTTCCCAAGTTACATCAAGAAATCCCTTTCTTTGATATAGTTTTATAAAGATTCTAAATAAGAGATGAAGTTAGAAGCTACATTCCCTGGGATTGGGCCCAGTCCCCCTGTCGTTCTCTTCCTGTTTTCCTCTCTTCTGTCTACTGTTCCTTCTCTTCCTTTCCTTTCTACTGGATTTAACTGAAAAGCACATTTCTGGAGGGATTTAATATATTCATTTGGAGATCGGCCATTAGCTAGATCAGGAATCAACAAACTGCAAGCCAAATCTAGCCTGTCATTTGTTTTGGAAAGTTTCATTGGAATAATCATTTCCATTCATTTATATAGTGTTTGGGAACTAGATCAGAAATGGAGCAGCCAGTACCTGAACTGGCGCCTGTATGGGGGATAGCCTAATGGCCATGGCGCCAACACCCAAGAAGGGTTTTTTTGTTTGTTTGTTGTTGTTGTTAGTTTTTGAGCTGGTGGGAGTTAGTATGTATTTACTAGCAAATGGTGAGTAAGGATCTTTTCATATAATCCCAGTTCTCACCCCTTAGCTCCCATTTTTAGTAGATGTTAGACACATAGAAGACTTAGAGGATTTTAGGCACTTAGCAAGGAAGAACTTCCATCTGTTAGTTCACTCCCTAAGTGCCTGCACCAGCTGGTGTTGCTGTGCTGGGAGCCAGGAACTCAATCCAGGTCTTCCAAAGCAGTGATTTAAACTGTCACTATTCCTCCCAGGATCTTGGTTGGTTGGAGCTGGAGCTGCGTATTGAACCCAGATAATCTGGCATAGGTCTCAGGCATCTTAACCTAACTCTGGTGGAGTGACTTTAAATCAGTTTTTTCCTCCAAGAAGATGGCTGTGCTAACTCCTGTAGGGATGCCTGGTTTTGTGTTTTTGTGTTTAATTCAGTTCGGGCATCTGTTGTAGATGCCTGTCTGGCAGAACAGGGACTGATGTCGTTGCAACAGGCAGACTTCCATATGCTAGGCCAGTACTTCATTCTTTGAGAATGTCCACGTACTTTTTTTTGCCCTGGTTTATTTAAAAGAGGAGGAAATCACAAACACATTCAGGGACAGAGTGGGCAAAGAAGGGAAAGGTGCAAGAGAGCTGTTTCTTTCATCGTGTGACCACAGGGAGAAGTGCCCCTCCTCGCTTCCTAGTTCTTGTGAACCCAGGAAGGGAGTGGGCACATGAAGCCACACTGTAGTTCCAGGTGAGGGACAGTACAGCATGGAGAGGGGGGTCATTTGATTGACAAGCAGACAAGCTGTGTCACGTAGAGCAGTAGAGGTACAGCTTCTAGTCCCGGAATCAAGCTTGCTCCCTGCATGTCCCGTTTCATTCCCCCCCTGAGATTTCTGACATCTACTCTTGAGGATGTCAATATACTCTCATATTTTGTTGAAGTACTTTTATTTGGGTGTGGCTTTTATTTTAACCTTTTTAGTTTCATTTCTTTCCAGATTTTCCCATCAGAACGTAATCATTATAAGTATTTGTAGTAGATACACTTTAAAATTTGTTTCATGGTCTTTTGGATATAATTTCTTAGACTACAGTGTGAGCTCCTCTGACCAGTGTTGTTTTCTCTTCCCCCTGCCAATCTCACCGCCATCCAGGAAGCCTGTCCAGCAGTCCAGAGGAGATGTCAGGAACTGAAGAGGGAAAGGAGACATCCTCAGGCATTGAAGTGGAGGCCTCAGATCTGAGTTTGAGCTTGACTGCGGACGATGGTGGCCCTAATCGCACCAGCACAGAAAGCCGAGGTACAGACACAGAGAGCTCAGGTGAAGACAAGGACTCTGACAGCATGGAGGACACTGGCCATTACTCCATCAATGATGAGAACCGAGCCCATGATCGCTCAGAGGAAGAGGAAGATGAAGAAGAGCAGCCTCGGCACCGTGTACAGCGCAAGCGGGCCAACCGTGATCAGGACTCATCAGATGATGAGCGGGCCCTGGAGGACTGGGTGTCCTCAGAGACAACAGCCCTGCCCCGACCCCGCTGGCAAGCCCTTCCTGCCCTCCGGGAGCGTGAGCTGGGTTCAAGTGCCCGCTTTGTGTATGAGGCCTGTGGGGCAAGAGTCTTTGTGCAGCGTTTCCGCCTGCAGCATGGGCTTGAGGGCCATACCGGGTGTGTAAATACCCTGCACTTTAACCAACGCGGCACCTGGCTGGCCAGTGGCAGTGATGACCTCAAGGTGGTGGTATGGGATTGGGTGCGGCGACAGCCGGTTCTGGACTTTGAGAGCGGCCACAAAAGTAATGTCTTCCAGGTGAGGCAAGGCAGCCTAATAGCACCTAACAATCAGACATGAGTGAGAGGAATCTGGCTGCTGGCAGTGAGTCACGGTGGGAATTAGACAGCTGTGACTTCCACAGTCGTTTACATGCACTGAAAGACTCAGAGTGGCATTTTGTTTTTCTGAACATCAGTGCTGTTTGAATCCTCATTTTAGGTAGGGGGGATTAAGTTCACTGGGCAGGAGGCAGCGTAGTAGTGAAAGCACAAGCTCTTTAACCAACACATGTCCCTTCTACTTTCTGTGTGAGCTTAGGCAGGTAGGTTAACCTTTGTCCTCAGTTTATTTATCTGTAAAATGGAATAACAGAAGCTCAGCACTTACCACTGTGGCTGGTACTTAATAAACATGTGACAAGTATTAGCTAGCATTGTCATTATTCTTTGGAGATTTTTCTCCTCAGTCCCACCTGCCATATTGATATTAGCCAGTTATCTCTCTCATTCCACCCTAGTTCTTTTTTCTTTATGGCATATTTATGTTTGCTTTCTAAGTCAAGGTAGATTTTTCTTCTTATTTCCTATTTTTCTCCCTAATTAAGTATAGTTGTAATTCAACAATGAACACTTAATCATATAGCAGTTTAATTTTCCAGAGACAACAGAAATGCTTACATCAAAGGAAGTTTTTTCTCCCTTTAATTCCTGGGCGAAATTGAGCTTGGCCAACTATATAGGAGTAGGAATGCTAAGTTTCCAACTGTCATGCAAGAAAAGGGGGTGAATTGAGATCATCATGACATTTTTCTCTGTCAAATTCACTTCTTCAAGTTCTTTTGTGTGTTCCTTTTCTAATTATCAACACCCTAGGCCAAGTTCCTGCCCAACAGTGGTGACTCCACCCTCGCCATGTGTGCCCGAGATGGGCAGGTGCGGGTAGCAGAATTGTCTGCCACACAGTGCTGCAAGAATACGAAGCGCGTAGCCCAGCACAAAGGAGCGTCGCACAAGGTAAGCAAGCGCCTGCTGCCGTCTGCGCAGTCCAGGTCCCCGTGGATCTCGCCTAGCTCTGCCTTGTCTGCCCAGTGTCTTCCCTTTGTTGTGACCATCCACTCTCAGCTCTTTGAAGTTGCAGTTTGTAGTTAAGGAAGCAAATGCAACCATCCTAAACTTCTTGGATAAATATTTCAAGAGATCCCTGGAACATACCATTTGATCATATCCCACAGTTAAGCTGAATCATGGTTGGTTTGGAGGTCCTTGAGGGTCTTTCAAACCTCTTAAGTTGACTCTCTTTTTTGAAAAGTGCAATAGTTTCAATGTGCGGTAGTTGGTTCCTCATATGTGAGAGCTCCAACCTTCCTACTCACAGCTCTTCGGCTTGTAAATAGCACTATTTCTGGAAGGCCTGTTTAGAACTGGGAGTAGAGGCCAGTTTGTCAGGGTAGCAGCCAGTGAGGAGCTGAGAACAGCCTGGGCGGAGGGCAGGCATCCTGCTTGCTCTTCCCTGCTGTCCTTAATACCCTAAGCAGACACAAGGGTGGGCCGCACATATCCTTTCGTAGCTTAGCCTCCAACCCACTAATCACTAGTTCATAGAATCAAAATGCAAGGGACAGACATCATTTCTCTCCACACCTGGAGAGTATGCAGTTGATTTTATGTCGGAGTGAATTACTAACACCTCATACTTTGTTTTGGCATTTCTGTTTGGACCCCTTGGTGAGTTAGTTGGAACAACAAATCACCTGTTCTTTTGGCTTAACCTCCCTTCCTGGAATTTTTCAACAAGAAAGACATTTCTCTTGTTGAGGCGTTTTAGACACAGCCCTTCTTAGAGGTAAAGGAAATGAGCCAGATTATCTCTAATTATAGCCTTCAGAAACAACCTTTTCCCATTTTTTTCCCTTTAGTTGGCCCTGGAGCCGGACTCTCCCTGTACGTTCCTGTCTGCAGGTGAAGATGCTGTAGTTTTCACCATTGACCTGAGACAAGACCGGCCAGCTTCGTAAGTATAGGATTGCCTTCGCAGAACTGTGAACGTTGGTCCAAAGTATTTCCTGTGTCCTGGTGATGCTCAGCTCCATCAGAAAAGTATGCTTGTGCCTGTGACACAGGGCAGTTGAAGACTTATGGGAATTCTTTACTTCCTCTGTCGTCTCCTCAGCAAAACACCGTGCGGTCTACCTTCATTTCTCAAACAAGGTTCGGTTATCTGGAGAAGTGTGGGTTTTAGTAACTTGGCAATCTTCTGCTCTCTGTTCACTTCGGTGCCATCCCGTTTACCCACAAGAAGCACATTACCCTACAGGTAGCTTAGAGAAACAGTCCTGTAAGTTTTCAGTTCAATTCCCAATAAAAACAAGCAAGCGATAAGTTGATAAATCTTGAAAAAAAAAATATGGGTAGCTATCGTAGAGTTATAACTCATACATCAGTGAATTTGACACTCACGGGTAGGTTATATCCCTTTTGATCATAAGAAGAACTTACGGTCTTGTTGGATCCAGGCTGATGGAGGTTAAGTCTCAGCTCTGACACTAATTGTGACCTGTGTCACTTCAATAGCCTCTGTTTCTTCATCCTCACTCTGGGCGTGGACTCACCCTCCTCTGGCCTTTTTCCTCTCCCTCTTTAACGATTTCTATTGCTTCTGGTAGGTTTTTATTTGTTTGAGAGGAAGAGAGAAAGGAAACTTGCATGTGTTGCTTACTCCCCGATGTCTCCTCCACAGCTGCAGCTGGCCTAGGCTAAGGAAGGAGCCGGCAGTCCGTCCTGGGTCTCCATGTGGCTGATGTGGAGCCCGGCACCTGGGGCAGCCGCTACTGCTTTGTGAAGTTTACATTAGCAGGAAGCTGGATCAGAAGTGTAGGTCTTGGAACTTGAACCAGGCTCTGATACAGGGTCTTGGGTCCTAACTGTGGGGCCAGTTGCCCTCCCCTGCATTATTGATGTATACTGATATATATTTGATGCCCCAATATAGAGTCTAACACAATGGCTGGAAATAAGATACAGCTTCTTTAAAATTATTTTTCTTCCCCACACCCTTTATTTTTTTTTTAAGATTTGTCTATTTTTATTGGAAAGTTAGATTTACAGAGAAGGAGGAGAGACAGAGAGGCAGATCTTCTATCTGCTGGTCCGCTCCCCAAGTGGCCATGATGGTCAGAACTGAGCCAATCTGAAGTCCAGAGCCAGGAACTTCCTTCAGGTCTCCCACGCAGGTGCAGGGTCCCAAGGCTTTGAGCCATACTTGACTGCTTTCCCAGGCCACAAACAGGGAGCTGGATGGGAAGTGGAGCTGTCGGGATTAAAACCAGTGCCCCTATGGGATCGCAGCATGTGCAGGGTAGGGACTTTAACCATGAGGCTACCGCACCGGGCCCCTTTCTTTCCTCCCCCTCTTTTTTTTGCTTTTATTATAAGGACAAATGTATCTTAGAGGATTCTAAGAGTGAAGTACATGGACAAGATTTTGTAAATACTCAAATTCCCCTGCTTCCATTTTTCCAGCTATTGATTATCACTGCTGGTAATTTTGAACATTTTTCTAGCCCTTTTTGTATACATTTATGAACCATTCATTTTTCACCATAAGTGGCATAATTTTTTTAAAAGATTTATTTATTTTTATTACAAAGTCAGATATACAGAAGAGAGACGGAGAGAAGAAGATCTTCCATCTGATGATTCACTCCCTATGTGGATCCAGTGGCCAGAGCTGAGCTGATCTGAAACCAGGAGTCAGGAACCTCTTCCAGGTCTCCCACACGGGTGCAGGGTCCCAAGGCTTTGGGCCATCCTCTACTGCTTTCCCAGGCCACAAGCAGGGAGCTGGATGGGAAATGGTGCTACCAGGATTAGAACCAGTGCCTATATGGGATCCCGGGAGTGTGCAAGGCAAGAACTTTAACTTCTGGGCTACCACGCTGGGCCCTCTCATTAGTCTTAAAAAGTTATTATAACAGATTTTGTAGGTCATTATTGACTAAGGTTTATATGACATGCAAGTAAAATGTAAATTAATTTCTGAAATATAATATGAAAGACAATTATTGTTAGATTTGTTTTTAGAAAGATAAGTCTAGAAAAGAGAAAACTAGACAGTGGAAAAATTCTGCAGCTTAAACATGCTAAAAATGTGTTAAGTTTGGGGAAGGTAAATATTGGTTATTTATATAATCATCAAGAGAACAAAAGTTGGAGGATAATAGCTTTACACTGGAAAGAAAACAGACCCAAGTGAGAAGATCTCTGCCTTCCAGTAAAGATGGTCTCCTATTTACAATGATTCAACTGGAAGATTTTCAGATTTATAATGGTGTGAAAACCATATATATTCACTTAGTAGGAGCCATATTTCAAACTTTGGTTTGGATCTTTTCCTCGGCCAGTGATGTATGGTGTGTTATTCTCCCCTGACACTGGGCAGCAGTACCGAGTTGTAGCTCCCTGGCTGCCACGCGGTCATTAAGAACAGCTGACACTCAGCAGTGTTCTCTGTTGCTGTGCTGCAGTGGTCAGGGGGTTAAATGCATTTTTGACAGAATGTTTTCAACTTACTGTGGGTTTTAAGTCAGGGAGCATCTGTACTCTCTCTGCAGTTAGCCAGCTTAGAGAAAAATCAATTTCTGATTAATGTTCTTTGTTTCTAACTCTGAGGTCCTGTGGTTTGGGAATTGTAATAAAATATTAGCAAGTTTCCATAGGGAAAGGGAAAGACAAGGATGCCAGAAAAGACGGTGAACTTGATCTGCCGGGCTGGAGAGTTGTGAAGCAGAATGAGAGCTAGTCTGTGAGCCAGGTGCTCAGGGAGCTGCCGTCAGCCAGCCACAAGCTGCGGGAGTCTGGTTTGGGTAACAGGTGATGCCTGTGACTGGCAGGTTATTGGGTTTGGAATGGAATCGTAGGGGTAGAATGTTTGGCTGAGAGTTGGTCGTAGATCTAGATACAAGTTGATGTAGGTAGGATAGAAACTAAATGGATGAACATGGAATGAAAAGAAGCCCAACTTCTAGATTTGAGGAAGAAGAGTGAGTCTGTAACAAGTTTTTGCTTTAGCAGTTAAAGATGTAGTTTTTTGTTTGTTTGTTTGTTGTAAGATTTGTTTGTTTAATTAAAAGAGAGAGAGACAGATCTTCCATGCACTGATTCACTCTCCAGGCAGCTGCAAAGGCCAGGGCCAGGTCAGGCCAAATCGAGGAGCCAAGAACCTCTTCTGGGTTTTCCAATGGGTGGCCGAGGCCCAAACTCTTCAGCTGTATATTTTGCTCATTTTTCCAGGCCTAGCAGGGAGCTAGGTTGGAAGTAGAGCAGCCGGAACATAAACCAGCATCCATATAGGTTGCTGGCATATAAGTCAGTGGTTTTTGCCATTATGCTACAATGCTGGCCCAGAAGTAATGTTTTTTGTTGTTTATTTGTATTTTTTATATTTATTTATTTATTTGAAAGAGTTACAGAGATAAGGAGAGCCAGAGAGAGATCCTCCATCTGCTGGTTTACTCCCCAAATGGATGCAGTGCCTGGAACTGGGCCTGTCTGGAGCTTCTTCTGCAGGTCTCCCACATGGATACAGGGACTCAAGGTCTTGGGGCCATTTCCCACTTCTTTCCCAGGAAGTGGAGTGTGGAGTGGCCAGGACATGAACCAGCACCCATATGGGATACCAGCACTGCAGGTACTGCTTTACACACGATGCAACAGCACAAGCCCTAGTAGTTTTTTTTTATGAGCTGGAGTGAGGTAGAGGGCTGAATGGGAAGATCTTGGCCAGAAAAATCTAAATTATCTGTGTTAAGCTATTTGCACAAAGTGGTTTTGTGTGAAACTGGCAAAACAGGACTTTCCTTTTATGTGTATATGACATCTGAATGTTCGGAAACTGGTGAAATTGACTAATGTGTTAAGAAAAGCGTTTGATTTGGAACTGTGGGCAAGGTGTTTCCTTGGCCAATGGAAACCAGTTCGTGATAATCTTCAAAGGAATCCTTTGGTCTATCTAATCTATAATTATTTTTCCCTTTTTGCTGGGATGTAATTTGTCATTAACTTCAGTGCAAAATTCAGTGAGTTCATTTTGTGTGGTTTCATGGCTATGTTTCTCTGTGCAAACGTTTTTCCCCTGTTCACATGATTGGCCAGCACCTCTGTATGTTTCCCAAACTGTTCAAGGCACTCTGTATTTATCCATTGTGAGAGAGAATAATTTGTTTTAAGGAAATAAATTGAGAAATAGAAAGATTGAGCTGCGGCCAGTGCCATGGTATAGCCAGTTAAGCCTTTACCTGTGGTGCCAGCAGCCCATATACTATTTCAGATGCCAACTGCTAATGGCCCAGGGAAGCAGTGGACGACAGCTCGAGTGCTTGGGATCCTGTTCCCATGAGAGACCTAGCGGAAGCTCCTGGCTCCTGACTGTCCCTCCTTGCTCCAGCCATTGGGGCAGTGAGGCAGAGATGGAGAGATAGCTGGGTTGCTATCTCTCCATCTCTTTCTGCAACTCTACTTTCCAAATGAAGAAAAAAAAAGTCTTTTTTTTTTTTAAAAAAAAAGAAGGTTGAGCTCTTTGTTAGAATTATGTATCGGTAGAGCCAGTACTTCCCAATATATCCTTTAGTCTCTTAATTTTGCTTTGGTGTGCTTTAATGTTGGACCTTGAAATGTAAATTGTTTAGGAAACAAGCTGGCCCTATAAATGGGGCAGCAGCAGCTCCTAACTCCCTTTCTCCTGTCCAAAACTGGCCCTGGAGATGCTTCCTCTTAGCTAGCGTTCCTCAAACTTACTCTTTTGGCACGTTTTCTGCTTGTGTGTTTTGGAAGTAGGGAGCTTAGTTTCCCCAAATGACATTCCTTTTCAGTAACCTCTGTAACTCTACTTTCTTTCTAATAATAAATTCATTTGATTTTTGGTGATATTTATAGTTGAGAAGAATGCCTGCCCATGTGGACTTGAGTGGGATAGGTCGAGGATTAGGGGAAAGCAAATGAGACAACTGTCTCCAGTCTTGCTCCTCCTTCCTGTATCTGGGGAAAGTGAAGAGAGGATGGGGGCTGCCACCTGATGTCATCCCAGAGTCGCCAGTGTGCAACATGTTCCGAGGGTACTGCTTAAGTGGTTCTGATAGTTCTGAGATGCTGTTGATTTCATTGCTCCAAGGTTGAAGAAATCTTTCCGTTGTCCGTTGGCTGACATAGTCCACCTCAAAGTCTCAGTTTGTCCAGATCCTCGCTGTCAAAGCTTGACCGGAAGAGCTGTACTATTTTTTTGTCCCCTGTGGTACTATACGTCCTCTGCAGGCCTTAAAGAACTGGTTGGCATGTCCTGCATGAGCATCTGGGCATGGTGTCCACCATACAGCAACCATGTAGACTCAATTCTGACACATGGACTCCACAGTCAAATCACAGATCCTGTGATTTTTCACCATGGTTGGAGTTCTAAGTCCAGTGACCCAGTCAGGGGGTCCACAAAGACACCTCACCTGAGGTGACCACAACCTGACTCCTGTGTGTGCCCCCACACACACTGGTGGTTTTAGCTACCTGGTCAGTTCTGTCCCCAGCCCTATCTCTTATGCAAACCAATGGATGCTGCAGCCCAGCCTAACCCTGCCCACCACACACTTGGCCCTCACGCGCACCCATGAGAACTGCAGCCCAGTCAGAGCAACCGCCAGTAATGCTCATCAGGCCCGCCCACAGCCCTGGTTGCTATGCATGCTATTTTAAGCAATAGATTGGTCCAGTCTGGTGCTCTATTTTCTTTTTTTTTTTTTTAAGTTTTAGGATTTTTTTTTTTTAAGATTTATTTTATTTTTATTGGAAAGGCAGATAAACAGAGAGGAAAATCTTCCGGCCAATGCTATGCTGATCCGAAGCCAGGGGCCTCTTCTGGGTCTCCCACGTGGGTGCAGGGTCCCAAAGCTTTGGGCCATCCTCGACTGCTTTCCTGGGCCACAGGCAGGGAGCTGGATGGGAAGCGGGGCCTGCCGGGATTAGAACCGGCGCCCATATGGGATCCTGGGGCGTGCAAGGCGAGGACCTTAACCACTGCGCCATCGTGCCAGGCCCGGTACTCTATTTTCTTAATGGAAAACTACAGTGTTTTTTTTTAAAGATATATTTTGTTGGATAGCCAGATATACAGAGAGGAGGGGAGACAGAAAGATCTGTCTGCTGGTTCGCTCTCCATCTGGTCTCAAAAGGTGAAACTGAGCTGATCCAAAGCCAGGAGCCATGAGCTCCTCTGGGTCTCATGTGGGTACATGGTCCCAAGACCTTGGGCCATACTTTACTGCTTTCCCAGGTCTCATATAGGGAGCTGGGTGGGAAGTGGAGCAGCCAGGACAAGAACAGGTACCCACATTGGATCCTGGCGTATGTAAGGCAAGGATTTAACCCACCATGCTATCACGTTGGGTCGCGTCGAGCCCACTACAAAGATTCTAAAATCAAAATCCTTTCTTGTTTGCCAGTTCTGGGCTAGATCGCCTTTGACTTGCAGAGACAATACTAAAATTGTCTCTTTACAGAGGAAATAATTGCCATGGTTATATTTTTCTGTTTCTGTAGCGTCAGCAATGAATAAAATCTTAGAATTAAAAGGTAACTTCTGGGCCCGGCGCAGTGGCGCAGTGGTTAAGGTCCTCGCCTTGCACGCCCAGGATCCCATATGGGCACCGGTTCTATCCCGGCAGCCTCGCTTCCCTTCCAGCTCCCTGCCTGTGGCCCAGGAAGGCAGTCGAGGACGGCCCAAAGCTTTGGGACCGTGCACCCGGGTGGGAGACCCGGAAGAGGCTCTGGCTTCGGATTGGCGTAGCATTGGCCGTTGTGCTCACTTGGGGAGTGAATCATCGGACGGAAGGTCTTCCTCTCTGTCTCTCCTCTCTGTATATCCGCCTTTCCAATAAAAAATAATAAAAATAAATCTTTAAAAAAGAATTAAAAGGTAGCTTCTTACAGTTTCTTGGTGTTGTTTCTTTCCTGTTAAATGTATTAATTTTCATGATGTCTAATCCGACTAGTGAACATGGTGCCACCCTTAAACTAGACTAACTTCTGAAGTCTCCACAGGGTTTCCTGCCCTGCAAACAGTCATCTTTCTTGTATTACAAGAATAGCTTAGAAATGCTTTTTCAGCCTTCCAAAGAGCATTCTTCATAAGAGCTCCTCTTTTATTTTGCTTCAGATAAGGGACGAGTACTGTTTTATGCTGGCAAATTATGGCTTGTCATTGTCAAACCTAGATTGTAAGTGACATTTCGCTGGAACTCGGCAAATAGACTCTGACTCTAGTTACTCCTCCACCTTGCTGCTTGTTCCCAGGCGGTTAGAAGGATGTGAGTGTCATTGCCTGTTTAGTGGTGTTTACTGTGCTGATTCGTGGCTTCCCAGGGATGATGCGTTCCTATGGCTTGTCTTACTCAAGGGTCGCTAGAATATGACTTCCCTGCACATTGTTTCCCCAGTCCTCAAAGTAGCATATTGTAAATATATGTGCTTTTTTCTTATTCCATTGTTCGGAATACACTAAAACCACTTTGTTTCTTTCCAAAAGAGAATCTGCTTGGTTTTTTTCTGAGTCCTTGTCTGCTGCTGGCTTGCCATTACAAACAGGATCTTGTGGAGAATATTAACTTTGTATCGTTTTCTACTCTTAAAGGAAACTGGTGGTGACAAAAGAAAAAGAGAAGAAAGTGGGGCTGTATACAATTTATGTGAATCCTGCCAATACCCACCAGTTTGCAGTGGGAGGACGAGATCAGTTTGTGAGGTGAGTCTGCGGCCTCTTTGTGTTTTTGAGAGTTTGAGAGTTAAGTGCCTCCTGAAGCTAATACAGCTTCGTAATATAGCTCATACAGCCCTTTGAAGGAGGGCTTTATACATTTACAGACTGTCGGCTTTTTAACAAGTTATAATGAGTAGGCCAAGTTCCCCATGTAGCAACTGAAGTTGTGAAGCAAGTGCTGTGTTAGTATTTTCATTTATAAATTAGCCTTGCAGCAGATATTTTGAATACTAGTTTCAGATTAAAAGTAATCTGAAGCACTCAGTATGCACGAGGGTTTTGTTTTTTCTTTTTTCTTCTTTCAAAGATTTGTTTATTTTTTATCGCAAAGTCAGGTATACAGAGAGGAGGAGAGACAGAGGAAGATCTTCTGTCCAATGATTCACTACTCAAGTGAGCGCAACGGCCGATGCTATGCTGATCTGAAGCCAGGATCCAGGAACCTTTCCAGGGTCTCCCACGTGGGTGCAGGGTCCCAAGGCTTTGGGCCATCCTCGACTGCCTTCCTGTGCCACAGGCAGGGAGCTGGTTGGGAAGTGGGGCCTGCCAGGATTAGAACCGGTGCTCATATGGGATCCCTGCTCGTTCAAGGCAAGGACTTTAGCCATTGGGCTATGCCGCCGGGTCCTCACTGAGGGTTTTTACCTCCCATTCTGCTGAACCATTTTCTTTATCCATTGTGATACCTTTGTGACTGTGAACATCTGCTGTAATACTCATTACTGATGCGTAGCCTAAGGAAAGCAGGCATGATAGATTACATCCCCATATGTACAACTTGACTTCCTGTTCGTGCTCATCAGTGGTTCCCATCCAGTTGGTTTTTTCTGTTTAGTTAGAATCAGCAGTTTGAAGAGAAACGACAGGATCACTAAAAAAATAGATCACTTTAGTGGGTAATAACATCATCTTCATTTTGAAGTAAGCACATTTTCAACATTGTAGTTGGAAAGTAACTATTAAGTAAGAATTGTAGGGAAGAATAAATTTTTTAAGAATTACATGAGCCATGCATGACTTTGTTTTTTGAGAATCCTGGACAGCCTTGTCTCGCTTCTTCCCTGGTTCCCTTCCCTTCCAGCCCCTTCTCTGGTCCCCAGTCTTGCAGATCTTCCATCCGTTATCAGCCTCGGTATTCTGTCCTCCTTTTTTAAATCTCAAATTCTCAATACACAATAAGATGTTTAGTTGAAAGAGGCAAATAGGCAGTTTGAAACATACTGATCCAGTGTGAACAGATAACTTTTTTTGTTGCTTTGCTTTCAGAATTACTTATTTGAAGGGCACAGAAACAGAACTCTTTCATCCAATGGTTTACTCTTCAGCTGAGTGCAGTGGTCGGGCTGGTCCAGGCTAAAGCCAGGAGCTGGATCGGGGCAGAGTGGCTGCGACTCAGACCCGTGATCTGCTAGAGCACGGCAGTGTTAGTGCAGCAGCTTTGCACCCTGTGCCTCCATGGCAGCTCCCTTACCCTTAGCTTTTATTTCTAGTTTAAAGGAATTCTTTCAAAGGAGTACAAAGAAATAGCTTCCTCATCCCCAAGCCATTTGCATCGATAATGCTGAATATTAACTTAAGATTAGGAAAGGATATTCAAAGGGAAGCTTTTTGGGCCTCTAACCAAAACAACAATAACAAGGAAACAATAAAGGTAAGTAGAGGAGATAGAGGTCTCAGTCTCTGCTACCAACTCTGTTGACGTTACTTTAAGTATTTAAAGAAGTGAAGACATTAAGCACGTGTCATCTTAATCCTGTGGTGGCAGGATGATGGCCTGACATGCAAATCAGTTACTAAAGCATTGTTTGATTTATAATCTCAGTGGCCATAGGACCAATACTATGGTATAATGAGTAAAGCTGGTAGGCTGGCATCCCGTAGGGGCACAGGTTCAAGTCCCTAGCTGCTCCACATCTGATCCGTCTCCCTGCTCATGTGCTTGGGAAGGCAGTGAAGGAAGGCCCCCATGCAGGGGCCCTGTGCTGCTGGCTCCTGGCTGCAGACTGGACCGGCTAGCTTTAACCATTTGGGGAGTGAACCAAAGAATGGAAGACACCCCTCTCTCTCTGTCCTTGTAACTCTGTCTTTCAAATGAATAAATAAATCTTTAAAAAAAATGTTAAGAGTCTGTCATATGCTGACAGAAGAAGGGGGAAATTTATATTCCTTTTTCTCTGTCTAGGACAGGACTCAATAAATTGAACAGCTTGCTTTTGTAAAGTTCTACTGAATATGTATGTGGCCATTTGTTTATCTGTTATCTGTGGCTGTTTTCATGCTACAGAGCCATTTTCAAGCTCAGTAGTTGCAGCAAAGATTAGGTGGTCTGCATTTAATCTTTTTTCGTTAATATTTATTTTTATTGGAAAGGCATATATAGAGAGAGGAGAGACAGAGAGGAAGATGTTCTGTCCATTGATTCGCTCCCCAAGCAGCCATGACGGCCAGAGCTGAGCCAATCCGAAGCCAGGAGCCCGGACCCTTTTCTGAGTCTCCTACGCGGATGCAGGGCCCCAAGGCTTTGGGCCATCCTCGACTGCTTTCCCAGGCCACAAGCAGGGAGTTGGATGGGAAGTGGGGCTGCTGGGATTAAAACCGGCACCCATATGGGATCCCAACACGTGCAAGGTGAGGACTTTAGCCAGTAGGCTACTGCACTGGGCCCCAAAATAAACATTTAATAATAAAAGGAAAAAGGATTTATTTTATTTATTGGAAAGTGAGAATTAACAGAGAGTGAGACACAGAGAAATCTTCCATGTGCTGGCTCACTTCCCATATGGCTGCAATGACCAGGGCTGGGCCTGTCCAAAGCCAAGAAGCAGGAGCTTTCTCAGGGTCTCTCCTGAGCTTTGATTACAGTAGGAAGGGTTAAAGGAGGTTTTTGTTTGTTTGTTTTGGCATTGAAAAAAAGAGAAGGCAGTCTAAAGGAGAGGAGTAGTGATTTTGTAATAGCCATGGAGTATGAGAGAGAACTGGCCAAGTAAGATTTCAAAGAGGGGTCGAAAGATAGATGACCCACTAACGTATTGAGGAAGGAGGACCTTTTAGAAGGAACACTGGGAAAGCAAGCATCCGGCTGGCACTGTCACTACGTTTTATGTCACTACGCTGAATTATAGCTATTCAGGATCTCACTTTATAAATGTTCTTTTTTTGACGTTTTTATTACTTCGTTCATCATAGGATTTATGACCAGAGAAAAATTAATGAGAATGAGAACAATGGAGTACTCAAGAAATTCTGTCCTCATCACCTGGTAAGATTCATTAAGAGCCAGCGCCTCCTTTCTTCCCTGACACAGCTGCATGGCTGCCCCCGGACTTGATAGTATGATGGGAAGAGCTTGGTCTCTGAAGTCACAAGCCTGGATGTGAATCGTGGCTTTACCAGTGACCAGTTCTGTGATACTGAGCACTACACCTCTGTTAGCCTGTTTTCAATTAAAAAACAATGACTTCATGTACCGTCGTAGTAAGGCCTAATGAGACAGTGTATATAAAACGGCTATCATACAGAAAATAACCAAGAGAAGGCCCGAAGTCTTTCCCCTCAGGTGGACTTTTTTTTTGTTTTTGTTTTTTTTTTTATCAGTTTTATTCCTGTCTGTGTGTGTCTTTCTCAGTCTCTGGGAGAAGATATAGGGGAGTTGTGAAGGAAAACCTGTTTCCTGAAGATGGTATACTAAGTGGGGGGGTGGGGCATCAGTCAGTATCTGCTCCTTATTGCAGGTGAACAGTGAGTCCAAAGCAAACATCACCTGTCTTGTGTACAGCCACGACGGCACAGGTACGTGAGCAGGGCCCAGCTCCTAGGCTGGCATGCCCCCTCTGTCTAGGGAGCTGCTGAGCCAGTGAGGCGTGTGCCCTCCAGTGCTCACCTCTGTGCAATAGCTCCAGGTGGAGCAGCTGGGGAGCACGTAGTGGGAGGACGCAGAAGGTGACCCTTGTAGATGCCAGGCACCATTTGCAGAATGCTGCAGGTGATTTTTGGCAGGGCCTGTCCTGAAGCCCAGGTTATTTGCCTGAGCAGGTTGTTACGCCTTTGACTCATTCCTGAAGTAATGGGAATGGTCGTCCGGAGCATTCTGCCACCCCTCGGTTAGCAGTATGTTCCTAATCTACCCTATGCAATCTGACATGCCTGCTGTTCCAACTACGTCAGATGGGTGCTATAACTGGGTATTAGGAGGGGGCACTACTGGCAAGAAGCCCCACCCCAACCCCTTAACTCCTGGTCCCTGCTTTTTTCAGCCTTTGCCTTCACTGCTGTGTTCTTGTTCTTGGCAGAACTCCTGGCCAGTTACAATGATGAAGACATTTACCTCTTCAACTCCTCTCACAGCGACGGGGCTCAGTATGTTAAGAGATATAAGGGTCACAGAAATAACGCCACAGGTGAGACTGTCTTGTGTAGGTTTTTGTGACCCAAGTCTTTTGGCTTGGAGAAGCACAGTATCTCATTTAATTTGTGAAAGTGGAAACTGTCTAGGTCCTTGAGAGCAGCCAGGCTGACGGTGATACCGTGAGAAGTTATCTTAAATTGATGTAGAGTTATCTTATTTTCTCGATTCTTGTAAAGAAGAAAGGGCACAAAATATTTCTCATTATTGCAGTGATGTTGCTACGAATTGCCTTAAGTGTAAGGAAACCAGACTGAGGGTTGTTTGGTTGTTGGTGGTGATTTCAGGTAACTTCAGAGTAGTTACAAAGGGCTTAGTAGACAGGGAGATCCCTCTTTAGTTAGTGGTACTCAATGATTAAAATGGGGAGGGAACTTGTACCTTTAGGGAAGGAGGAGGAAGAGGAGCCAGAGTTTACAATAAAGATTAGCTTTTTTTTCCATCTCTTTTTATGTTTTGTTATGTTTCCTGTTTGTGCTCCCAAACTTAGGGGCATTGGGATTCATAATCTTTTAAAAATACTGATGTCTGGTTCCCACCCCCATATGTTTTGATTTAATCGATAGCAGCTGCACCTTAAGCATTGGGATTTCTTTAGCTCCCACATGTGACTCTATAGTATTAAAGTTGGGGGATCAAAATTCTTGCTGGTTGGTACCCTCCTACTACATCTGCCACAATTTTGACTTAGAGGCAGCAGTTAGATTTTCTTTTTCTTCTGACCTGGTAAAAAGGGAGGGAGAATCTGCTTGAATCTCAGTTTGCAGGCAGACAAAAGGGAGGATGCCAGTCTCATGGCTGGTGTAGAACTGGTCATGGTGATTGGGAGTGCTGGCTTTTACTAGTTCCAGAGAGTGGAGCTTTGTGTTTCTGTGTTTGTCCTGATTGCAAACTCAGTTCAGATTTTTTTTAGAGATTTATTTATTTTTATTGGAAAGTCAGATATACAGAGAGGAGGAGGAGGAGACAGAGGGGAAGTTCTTCCGTCCAATGATTCACTCCCCAAGTGACCACAACGGCTGATGCTGTGCCAATCCGAAGCCAAGAGCCAGGAATTTCCTCTGGATCTCCCATGTGGGTGCAGGGTTCCAAGGCTTTTGTCCGTCCTCAACTGCTCTCACAGGCCACAAGCAGGGAGCTGGATGGGAAGCAGAGCTGGCGGAACCAGAACCGGCACCCATATGGGATCCCCGGCGTTCAAGGCGAGGACTTTAGCCGCTAGGCCACCGCGCCAGGCCCTAGATATATATATATTTTTAAATAGGGTTCGTGGTATATACTTTGATCAGTCTCAGACTGACTGATGACCCAAGCAGTGTTGACAAGGCACTGATGAAGTCCACATACCAAGGATAATTCTAGGGCTGGCTTCATAGGCGCGGTCAGAGCTGAGGCAGTGCAGGCTGGGACAAGTAACATCTTAGAAGGTCGGTTTCTGTCTGAAAAGCTCTAGGCTGTGGCAGGCTGTTGCTCGGGCTGCAGTCTCCTCTGCCCATGGAGTTCTTAAGGAGAACGCAGTCTCTGGAATTAGTGTGTTTCTTCTAACTACCTATTTATCCATGCATAATTCTTCATTTGTTTTGTGAAAATTAAAGGAATTCCTTGGCTCTTGACTGACTTAGAGTTTGTGAATAACTCAATTTCCCATGAGGTAAATACATATCGGCCTGATGCCAACCCTTGTGTGGTTTGTTCTTCATTTCTCATTTCAGTAAAAGGTGTCAATTTCTATGGCCCCAAGAGTGAGTTTGTGGTGAGCGGTAGTGACTGCGGGCACATCTTCCTGTGGGAGAAATCATCCTGCCAGATCATTCAGTTCATGGAGGGGGACAAGGGAGGCGTGGTGAGTATGTTGCGGTGGGCTGGCTGCCTCCCTAATTTCTCCAGTCATTAAGGTAGGTTTTAGCAAGCCACTGAATTGTCTCTGTGCTAACAGCTGAGTAAATTAAAAGGCATTGAGAGGTTTGGAGGGGAGGGGTACTGGTGCTGAGGTTTTGATGGAATGCTTTGTTTTTCTATCCTCTACCTTTTCAAGTCGTGGTTTACTGAAAAGAGAAAGGAATATTGGGCAGTAGCCTCTAGCCTGAGTGTGATAACTTATCTGTAGGCATATAGCTTTTCCAAAACAAAAAGTATGAGAGTTCAGGGTGTGCTATGCTACATAGTGCTAAAGATCTCTGTCTCATCACTTACGTGGTGGTCTTGGCTGGATCCCAGATCTGTAGAGAAGAGCAGTTTTTTAGTGTTGGGAAAATCATTATATGATTTATAAATTGGATAATGCGGTATCTAATACTGAAGCTATATGATATGAAAATATTTTATGTAGAATAGAGTATTTTTGTACTTATGAGATACATGTTAAAGTATTGGGACAAGTTTGATCTTACATTCAGATGAATACGTAAGCACTTAGCACGTGTGTGTGTGTAGTTTGTGTACATAGAGGGAATGGGAATGTAGAAAAGTATTTTTCCAAATAGTGACTGAATCGCCTGCTATAGAACCCCTAGGATCAGATCACTGTCCTTTGAGTTCTGCAGACAACCTCTGTGAAGATAGGGCAAAAAGGAAAAGGACTGACTTAGTGAAAAGTGTTCAGCTACTAAGATGTATCTAAGTTAACCATAATTTTTTTTTTTGAGATTCAGTTAATTATAGCTTTCTATTATAAGCTTTTTAGACTGCAAAAAATATGAAAGAGACAGTTTGGATAACTGTAACTAGATTGCACTGATTACTCAAGACAGTCTGGTAACCCAAGGCCTCTAAGAATGACTGAGATGGCTTGATTTCTCTTCATTTTCATTCCTTCTAAACTGTGGGGAGCTCCGAGAGCCCAGCAGATGGGGTTTACCAGAGTAGTTTTAGAATTTAGAATGGTTACTTTGTGATCAGAATCCCATTCCTTCTCAAGTTTTTCTTGCACTGGTATGAGTGTATTTCACTTTTTCTTCTGGTTTCCTCTAAATTTGTGGGACTTGGGACCTGTGTAGATTAAGGACCTGAATGAAGAAGGAAAGGATTCTAGAATTCAACCTGTATGTCGTTCTTCTTTGCTTCATTTCCTACTCTTTCGTAGGAAGCCATCTGCATTGGACAAACCCAAAACGGTGAAGTCTTAATGAATTCTGCAATAGGCAGATAATCAGAAGGAAGTCAAAAGGGACCAATGCAATAATCTAATCCTTTTTTGATCATAAACTATTGTCTTGCATTCTGTTCCAGAGATGCTGGGTTGAATGCCCTCTCCCAGGCCAGCACTTGTTCGTCCTCCAAAAGCAGTCTGCAGGCCAGTTTGCTTTTAGCTCAGCCAATACCAGGGTTTGATGATAAATCCAGGTGCTCAAGGTGGGGAAGGTATCTACTTCAGATGGGTGGGTCTTAGTGGTTCTGAGACTAGAACAAGAGAGAGAAGTGATTTTTCTTACTTGTTCTTGCCTCTATGAGTTGAATGATCCATATGATCCTCACTTGGCTCCCTGCTTTTTTTTTTTTGTCCAAACTTCCTAGCAATGGAAGTCACCAGGCACCAGCCTCATTGTGATCTATGCGGTAGTTCTATGTCACAGAGTCACAGAGTATTAGAATCAGAAGGGATCTTTTTTTTTTTTTAAAGATTTATTTTTATTATGTTTTTATTGGAAAGGCAGATATACAGAGAGGAGGAGAGACAGAGAGGAAGACCTTCCGTCCAATGATTCACTCCCCAAGTGAGCGCAACGGGCCGATACTATGCCGATCCGAAGCCAGGAGCCTCTTCCGGGTCTCCCACGCGGGTGCAGGGTCCCAAAGCTTTGGGCCATCCTCGACTGCCTTCCTGGGCCACAGGCAGGGAGCTGGAAGGGAAGCCAGGCTGCCGGGATAGAACCGGCGCCCATATGGGATCCTGGGCGTGCAAGGCGAGGACCTTAACCACTGCACCACCGCGCCGGGCCCCAGAAGGGATCTTAAGAGTTAAATTCACCTTGCCCAGGTTTCCTGACTCTAGTGTTGGGGTCTGTCCTTTGTCCCATTCAGCTTCACGGGGCAAGGGTGGGGGCTGATGTCGAAGGACAATCTCTTACTCTCTCAAGAGCACTTTGGTACTTCATCCCCTTCCCTGCATTCCTCCAGTCCAAGTTATCTAAGGCCAGAGCTCTGTGCTCTGCTCAGGCATTATTGACAGGATAAGCCTGGCACTCAGACAGGTTAGGTGAAGTGACCAGGTACCTTGGCCCAGCAGTCCTCTATCGGCTTCCCCTGCAGGCTCCAATTCAGGTACTGTGTGTGATTTATCCTGTTGTTCTTGCCATTGGCTTGGTCCTTAGTCTTACACCCAAAGGAACTGTTCCCCTATACTTTATTTTATTTACTCAGAGTTTAGGTCTGTAGCAAAAGCTCAGGAGATGAAAGAGTATGTTCAAGTTTCTTTGTATATGATGTCATGTATGTTTGGATACTATTTTCATGCAGTGGAGTTTCTTCTAGTGTCTGTGCATGCTCCAAACACACTGCCTAAGAAAGCTCAAATATAAACTTTGCAATGAGTTGAAGTGGGAATTGGGGGAAGGAGAAGAAAGAATGGGATTTTAACTTGACCCTTAGGCTGAGACTTGAGTCAGTCCTTTTTAATGTTTGATTGTTCATGAAATCAAAGAAGTTTGCAGATCAGCTTTATTTTTCATGCCTGCCCCTTGCATCTCAGAGGCTGCTGTATGTATGTGAGGAAGGGGAGGTTTATCCAGAGAGTTAAAGAAGCTTCTGATCAGGGTTGTTTTCTTTAACTGTAGGGCAGCTGCAAGGAAGAGTGCCTTATCTGTTCCTCATTTGGCTATAACCCCTGAAATACTTCAGCAGCTAGATTGGGACTAGCTCTTCCGGTGGGAATGGGAGCTGCCCTGCCCTGTTGGAGAAGCTCACAGTTCCAAGTCAGACAGCAGGGGGCATGCGTCTTTTCAAACAGAAGGAAGTTGTCTAAGGCAAAAAGCATGCCTGCCATAGTTCTTTCTCCTATTCAAGGAGTAAACTCAGAAAGTAGCTGAGACTGATGGTCTGAGGAGGCCCAGAGAGCTGCCTTGGTGTGTGATGCTGCTGAATGGCTGGGTTTATTGGTACTGTGAGAGCAGGTGGTTAAGCTGCTGTCCTCTGGGATACCTAAGTTTTCCAAGCAAACATGAGCCTTCATCAGCTCTTCAACCTACAAGCTCATTTTCTTCTTCCCAGCCTATGGTGTCCTCCAATTCTAGTAAATAGTGCCAAGAGAGTATTAATTGTTTTCTAACTCTTTTCTGGGGCTGATTGGCAGATGCTGCTTTATTGAGTTTGAAAATCTGCCACTTGGTGAAAGCCACTGAGATGTTTTTCCAGCTTTGGGCAAGTTGGAGCTTTGCTCTCTGGAGTCAGGGAGGTCCCCTGGACTTCACTGCCTTCTTGTGAAGCCAGCAGGAAGCTTGGGCAGTCACTCACCTACCTCTAGGCCCTTGACTGGGGATGAAGCACAGAATAACCTCTACATATGAAATGACAGATGGGCCTGGAGTCACACCCAGTTTGTGTCCAGTACTTTCTCTATCCACTAGGCCATTTGGGCCAGGTTTAGGACGAGTGGGCCTGCCTTCACAGCAGCTGTCTCAACCCTGATAGAGGACAGTTATTTGGCTCAAGGTGAGTAGTGGTTTTAAAGCTGTATTTTCACATACTCTTGACTCTGCTTTTCTTTCCTCCTGACTAGGTAAACTGTCTCGAGCCCCACCCTCACCTTCCTGTGCTGGCTACCAGTGGCCTGGATCATGATGTGAAGATCTGGGCGCCCACAGCTGAATCCTCCACTGAGCTGACAGGGTTAAAGGATGTAAGTGGCTAAGGGGGATCTTTTCTTGTTACTTACTCATATACAGTCATTATTCTTCATTGTCATGGTAAGGAATAGCTTAGTGCTCAGTTCTTAAGGCATTGCTCTAATAGCCTCCCTTATATTCCTGTCATTGCCTCTGTCCTAACACTCCTGCTTCCGGGGACAGCTTGAAGTGCCTTCCTTGGCAGTAGGAAGGGGATAAGGAACCTCTTTCAGAAGAGTTACTCAATTTTAAGGTTTTACTTCAATAGCTGAATCTCAGGACATCCTTTCCTAATCTAGTTCAAGGACAGTTTAATGACACTTAAGAGAAACTTTTAATGGAACAGACCATCAGTTTTCTTAAGCAGGTTGGGGGTTCCTGTTCATTATTGGTTCCTTCCCCTGTTCCTTTTGGGTCCAGGTGATCAAGAAGAACAAGCGAGAGCGGGATGAAGATAGCTTGCACCACACTGACCTGTTTGATAGCCACATGCTGTGGTTCCTCATGCATCACCTGAGACAGAGACGCCATCACCGGGTAAGCTGGAGTCAGAGGTGCGCTCCTAAGCCAGTGGCCTTCTTGAGAGGGCTGAGTCCCAGTGTTTGCCTCCTCCCCACTTCAAGGAAGGTTCAGGTGGTCTTGTTGGATTTCCTGTCCAGTTGTCCCCGTCTCCACCAGAGCCCTAAGATAGACTTGAAGAAGCCACCAGCAGAAATGAGGAGTGTCTGCTTGTGTTCTCTGTTGCCAAACAGGCATAGAGCTATATGCATAAAGGCAAAGGCAGGAGGGTGGGGAAGGAATTAGGAAGAAAGACGTCTCAGTAACCCTTCTATTTTTCCTCTCATGCCAGCAGAGACCTTGGCAGGGGTCCATATGTTGGCAGTTGGCCTGCTGGTTTTGTAAATAAAATTTTATTGGAATGTAGCCATACCCATTATATGCATACCTGTGGCTGCTTTCATGCCACAGTGGCAGAGTTGAATAGTTGCAATAGAGACCATCCTGGAAGTCTACAATATTTACTGTCTTGCCCTGTAAGAAACATTCTGTTGATCCCTGGCCTACCTAAAACCTAATAGGCTTGTACTTGTTCCATCCAGAGAAATTACTAACAAGCCTTTCCCATCCCACAGCGCTGGCGAGAACCTGGGGTTGGGGCCACAGATGCAGACTCTGATGAGTCTCCCAGCTCCTCAGACACATCGGACGAGGAAGAGGGCCCTGACCGGGTGCAGTGTATGCCATCCTGAGGCTTCACACCTAGGAGGGTTGGGCTGAACTACCAACCCAAACCTGCCTGGGCAACCCTTTCCTTGTCCCAGGCCCCTACATTCAGCAAAAGAGCACTTTGGACTTTTTGCTTTAGATAAAAAAAAAAAAAGAAGGACATCCCAGGAAAAGGTCAAACCAGAGGGGAATGAACCAAAAGAGAGAATTTAGGAATGGGAATTGAGCCCTGGAATGGAGTTCCATGGAGCTATGCATAGCACTCAGCAGAAACGGCCTCTACCCAGAGTCTTTTGAGGGGTGGGGGTGGGGGTCCTATTTTGCTAACTGGGTTAGGCTAGGGAACGGGGCTTCCTTTTCTTTACTCTCCCTTGTTTCTTGGGCAGGGGGTGGGGAAAACAACTGACTGAACCAAGGGGCCAGAGTGGGCAGTAGGAGACCACTCTGTCTTTGGTTTAGGTTTTTGACCTTTTCTTCCTTTGTTTTTTTTATGTATTTGACAGTTTGTTTCTTCCCTCCTGAGCAGTCCCATCCCAGAACCCTGTTTTTCAAGGAAGACCTAGAGCCCCTAAGCATCCCGCTCTTCACTTTCCATACCTTATTCACTTCCTGTACTTACCACAGTGTTTTGCACTTGATTATGTATCCTTCACTCTCTTCATCCCATCACCCCCTAAACAGATAGAGGGAGGGAGGCTGGGGAGAGGTGGGAGGCAGGCCTGGCAGTGGAGGAAAACTAGGAAGGATGTTACCTCTTCTGTTATTTTGTTTAAGTTGTTTGGTGGCAGCAGTCTCCCTGTCCTTATCACTGTTAGAGGCCTAATTTTCTATCTATAAATATGTTTAAAAAGCAAGTCAAACTTGGATGTATCAAGTTAAAATTATTGTCAAAGTTTAAATACCTATATATTCTTTATGAATGAAATAAAGGGACTTAAAGAGTGAGCAAGAGTACTGATGTGGAGGTGACACTTGCGGTCAGCTTACCTTGAGAAATAGCCACTGGGCCACTGGAGCTTGGGGCTTACCCCTTAGACTTTAGGAGGCTCGAATATGGAAGAATCCTCAATTCTGCCTTTCCCTGCTCACCTGCCTTGCAGTGAAGGTTCAGAAAAACAGGAAATTCCTCTCAACTCTTTGCCTCAGATCTCCTACCTCTCTTAAAGTCTCTCGGGGGTTCCCAGGATGGCTCTTCTCACCAGAGGCTGGCCTGTCTTTAAAACTTGACTGAACTGTAACTTCAGGAAGGGCACAGCCACTGCAGACTGTCCTGATACTGCATATCACACACACACACACACACACACACACACACACACACACACACACACACACACACACACACACTCTGACTTCAGGAAGGGCACTGCCACTGTGGACTCTGTCCTAATACTGTGTGTATCTCTCTCTCACACACACACACACACACACACACATTTAGCTGCTTGATTGTTTAAGCCATTCAGTGACAACCAACTCCCCCTCCAAATGAAACCGTGAAAGCAAAGACTTCCTGGGTCTGACTTTATACCCTGTCCACCTCTTAATTCTTGGGAATGAGGGAAGAGTCCATTGGTCTAAGGATTGATTATGGTCACTAGGACTTAAATATCTGTCTTGTCACTGGTCACACAGTAGGAAAAGTCCCAGTTGGATTCTTGGCTCTTAAATGCTTTTGCTGCTATTTCTTTGTCCCCAACTTCCACAAGATTCCATTAGGAATTCTGCATCCTAAACAGCCAGATTCTATTGAACCAAGTCAAGAGAGTTGGCGGGGGGTGGGAGAGTGAGAAGATGATATTCCCAGACACTTCTTCCTTCTGCCCTCTTTTCTAGCAGCTCTCAAACTAGATACTAGCTGCTGCACTTCCTCTCTGAGGTAGGAAATGTGTGGTGACTGAGTGGTTTGTGTTTCTATTGCTAGCAGGGTGGTGGGGTGAGCTGAAAACCATGCACTCTGGAATTTGTTGTATTTTCTCTCAGTAAAGGTTTTTTTTTTTCTCCTGACTGCTTCTCTGTGTGATATGTCCATGCATTCATGGTGGAACTATTTTCATTATTCCTACATTACATTATACCTAAATCATGTAGGTACCTGGCCCTGGCCTCTTAATCATCCCATATTCCAATTTTAGGAAGTCTAGTCTGGGATAATCATACTTCAAGTCCTTGGGTAGCAACTGAGAATAGGCACCATTTAGTTCAGTGATACTTAAATTAGGTGGGTAGTATTTGAGGGTATTTTCCAGGCCCTTCCCCGTCATTCAAAAATCCTGACCACTCACAGAAATTCTAGAATCAACCAGGTACAGTACAATCAGTCACCTTTATTCCAGGGTTAGAACAAGGCCGTGCACATTGCAGACAGAGGAGTGCAGGAGAAGGGAAATCTCACAGCAGTACAAGGTTGAAGGAGGGCAGGTTAGTCTTTTGAGATTATTTTGCCTTATGGAGGAACTACTAGACTCTGCTAAAAATAACCCTGTCTCTCTTCTCCCATTTCTGTCATAAGGAAGTCTTTCTTTTTCTCTCTCTTCTCACACACATAACATATCCTGAATGAAAGCACAGTCTATATTCATTTTCCCCCTCTCAATTCAACAACTGTCTCTCTCAAGGAAGAAGCCAAACAGGGCTGGGGAAACTGAAACAACCTTTAAGGCAAAACTGGAGTCCTCAAGGTGTGTGTGTTAAGGCAGGTGTCCGTAGCAATGGCCAGAGGGGACAGGCCAACCAGGCTAGGCTAGTAGTTGAAGGTTCTCTGTCATCAGTCTGGCTTCTTCCCTCTCCAACAGCCAGCCCAACCCCCACTGCTCCCACATCCTAAAAGCTCCTAACTTCAACTTTCTCCAAATAGCCTCTGAGACTGCTTATAAGTTTAATGTTTTTTTTAAAGAAAAAACAAAAACTTTTTGTTTAGACTATGCAACAATTTTGACTCTGCTACTCCTTTTACCATGGCATTCCACTCCCACCCTTGCTCTGGCCTAGAAAATAAGTTAATGCTAGACACCACAAACAGGGCAGACATGGCAGTGCAGGTTTAATATACATATATGTAGAATATATATGTACACACAGTTAGCACGGTCAGGGTGAGGAAGGGCATCTTGGGACAGGCAGGAGGCTGGGGTCACTCACTGTACTCTAGTGATTTGGCTAGGAAGCATCCTGAAGCCCAGGAGGCCTGGATATCAAGTGAGAAGGGTGATTACCATGTTCCTTCCTAGACTGAATTGGGATCAGTGCAAAGGAAAATACTGTTAACTTTTTTTTTTCTGGCTTAGGATGTTCTAGACCAAGTAGAGAAAAGGAAAGGTTGCCTGCAGTTGGGACCTGAATAAGTCCAACGAGAATCTCATTCTCTAACCTCCCCAGGCTCAGGGTCAGTTTATGCAACAGTCTAAGTAGAATAAGGAGGGGAAAAGGGGCTCCTTCCTCTCTTTGCCCTCAGTCCCATCTCAGGCTCAGTGGTGCATGTTCTCAGTAAAGCCTCTCCGGAGCACAGGTTGGCAGGCACAGCTACTGCTGGCTGTCTGTGGGGTGATCCTTGGGACAAGGGTGGTCCCCTCTCATCCGGTCCCTAGCTCAGACCCATCTAGGCCTATGGGATGGCTCAAAAACGGACCTGCTGGCACCTAGGCATGCAGCCTGAGGGAATAGCACAAAGCCAGACTCCAGTCCAGCATGGGAGTACAGACCTCCAGCTCTGCTCTGCCCCTTCCAGATGGGGGATAGTGGCATCTTCACCAGCCCTTTGCTCCACCCACCTCTTCCATCTCACCCCCATCTCAGCTCCTCAATGTAGGAAAATGCAGGTACTTTCTGCTTCCACATTTTAAAGATGGGGGGGGTAGGGGTGAGTGAAAGGGAAGCAGGAGGAATGTGCCAATTTCTATTTGCATAGAAATAGCCTCCACCTCCCCCTAGCATGGGGAAACCAAGCCCCAACCCACACCCTTGCGAGCCCCTGACCCCCATCCCCTCACAAGGAGGTGGAACTAGATGAGCTAGACATAAAGACGAACAGCCAGAGCGTGCGCACACGCACACACACGCGCACAGTAAGGGGGTTAAGGACCAGGTTAGTAAGTGGGTAGATGGGGGGGTTGTCCTTGCCCCTTCCCATGGAGGATGAGGGAAGGGAGTGGTCCGATGAAGGTCCAACCTTCCTGCTCTTCCTCCCCCTTGCTCAGGCCTTCTTCGGTGGGGGAGCCAATTTGATGATCTCTTCTTCAGAGGGCTGCCGGATAATGTCTGGGGGTGGAAAAAGGGTGTGTCCAGGGATGGAAGCAGACTCAGTGAACATCACCGCCAGTCCCCGAATTCAGATTACAAGGATCACGAATGAAAGGGGGCAGGACTCCAGCTGTGGATGGCTTCTTACCTTTGTATTTCTTGGCACTGGGGATACGGGTTAACTTGGTGTCCAGCTCATCTTCTTCAGAGATCTTCAACACGCGGGTTCTGTAGTCGACCACCATGGTAAGTAGGTCAGGACGGCGAGAGATCTCAAAGATGTGCTCAATGTAGGAGAGGTTGTCTGGGGAAGAGCAGGCGAGTGTGGGTCAGAGCTAGGCTACAGAGGTCAGTCTGCCCTTCTCTACAGAGCGGGGTCCTGCGGTCAGATGCTGTGCCCCTGAGCTCTAGCCCCTCTCAGTCAGAGCCGTGTCTGGATGGAACCAAGGCTGAGTTGTTCACATTGCCTATCAGAAAAGCACCTGCGAAGCCACCTAAGCTAGAAAAAGAAAGGTATCCAAACTGTTAATACAGAGCTTTGTTCCCAAGAAGGGCAGATACCTGGTCAGTAAAGTTTCTAAGATTATGGATTTAGAATGAAGAATTCAGATGAGATACCTGGTACCAACAGAAAAAATGTGGCTTCTAATAGCTCGCAGCCACTCTACTTTTTCTACTTTCCTTTAAGTAAGCACTCTACTTTTTCTACTTTCCTTTAAGTAAGCAGCAGGAAGAACTCTCCAACAGCAATGTATGGCCTGGAGGGGCAGAGTCTGTAGACAGCCCCAGAGGGATTCTAGTTCTAGTAGGAAGGTTACTCCCAACGACAGATGCCTGGGTGCCTTCTCTGCTCCTTCCCATTGGTAACCGCAACAGTCCAGCTGTCCCACTTCCTCCCTCAGCCTTTCTGCCAACTAGCCACACTACAGTCAGAATACAGTGTATGTGAAGGGTCCAGAGGTCACTCAAGGCCCTCCACAATGGTTTTTTTTTTTTACTTACCTGCCCAGCCATTTCTGCTATGCCTTAACTTAGAGTCCAGCCAAGCTTGCTTTTCCTAACATACCTGTGCAGCTGTATTCCTCTGCCCAGCATGTCTTCCTTTGGATCCTGCCTTAGAATCCAACTTGCCTTGACCAGTTCCTCAGTCCCCCACTGTGTAAGATTCTCTAATCCACACACCTCCCCTCAGAGTAATAGTACTCAAAGTGCATAAGGCAGTGTCAGTAACACGGTTCTCTTTCAGATGTTACTACTTTTTAATTTTTATGTTCATGTATATAATAATAGCACAAGAGCTTCTGTGTAACTTTTTTTTTAACTAACCAGGCATAATGAAAACGTCTAAAGACTGCTGCTTTTGAGCCCCTTACACTCTGCTGGAGCATCACTATTACTCTCCCTTGTTACAGAGGGGCCTTGTGTTGGGGAGAGCTCTCAACTCCTCTCGTTGTGGAATGACCGAGCCTGACCTGCCTGTGACTGGCCCTGCGTGCTCCCCTCCCCCACCTTTGTCCAGCTTGTTGTGGCTCTCCAGGAAGCTAAACCAGGCACTGCCAGTAGTGATCTCCTCACTCTTCTCACTGGGAATGTCCTCCTTGCAAGCCGATTTGAGCTGTTCCAGATCTTCAAGAGTGATGTTGTTGGTCAGGTCCTGGAGGAGGGTCCCGTACTCGGCCATGACTGGGGTTAGGAGACAACAAAAGGAGTACAGGAGGCTGAGCTAAAGGTACAGAGTGTGGTTCACGCAATTACCCACTCCCTGACTCTGACAGGAACCAGGCATGTACCTAGAAGAGCAGGTGGAGGCGGGATGAGACTGGTGGGAGAAAGGGAAGACCTAGAGTTGGTGGGAGTAGGTAGGAAGAAAAACTCACTAGGACCCAGGCTGGATCTGGAGTGACAAATCATACTTTTCCCCTACCATCTTTCTCTTCTGTTCCCCCTCTAACAGTAACCCTGGCAACTGCTCCCCTGACTGAGGAGGCGGTTACCAAGGCAACCTGCTCCCGACTTTCTCAGTGCTGTCTCCAAGTCCCTTCCCCCCCTTCCCCCGAATTGCCCCACCCACTTGCAACCCCTCCCCCTGTCAGGGAAAAAAAAAGCCAAAACATTCAAAACAAGAAGCAGGGAGAGGCTTGCTGTGGCAATTAGGGGCTGGAAGGGAGCTGGTGGGGTAGGCTGAAGCGTTGTTCTCATTCTTTCCCAGAGGCAAAGGGGTACCGTCACTTCAACTCCCTACCACCTCTCAAATGACTCATTTTGGATGGGTGCCCAGTTGCTGGGTCTGACGGTTCTGCGACCCTTCCCTGCTTAGTCTTGTACTCAGTCATTAGGGCTGGGGTCGGGGAGAGAAGCAAAGGGCCACCCCCATCTTTGTGCGGTTCATTTTCTGCCTTGATGGTTACTGAGTCCCCTACTCAGTGCTCTCTCCTAGTCTTTGTGCTGTGCCTGCAGCCCCCGCGCCCAAGAATACCAAGCGGCTGGGTCTGGCCCCCTGCCCAGTTCCCAGGCTAGCTGGTGGCAGGGGGAGGGGACTTTAGATGTGGCTTTGGGAGTCTGGCAGGAAGGGGCTGCCACCTCTTCTTGCAACATCCTCCTGGCGCTACCTTCAGCATGACCTCCCATAAGAGGCTAGGCAAAGCCAGAGCTCATCTGGGCCTTCACTCTATCTCCCTTTCATGACCTGAGGTGAGAAAATACAGAACATTCAACCTTCCTTGAGCTCTAGGATCCGTGGTTCAAACGGGAAGAAGGGTGGGCTCCAGAATTAAATTTCTGGATTTGATAAAATGGGAAACTCTAATGGCAAACTCAAAACGGGACTGTTTCCCACAATATGTTTCCTTTGTAATCAGAAAAATAAAGCATTAATAAAGCAAAGCCTGCTACAAAAACTCTGTAGCTAGACCCAGGGGTGTGTACAAGGTAGACAGATGATCTTACCTCTCTGCAAACTGCCCATAGATCATCCCAGCACTGGGCTGGAAATGTGGCAGATCCAAGGGGGCTGGCTGACACAACCCCATTCTCATTTCTCTAGCCTCTACTGCAGAACAGAAGCAGAGAGGCATGGCCATCACACAATAAGAGGTATGGACCCAAAAGTGCCCATTCCCAGCCCCCTGCCTGGACCAGAATAAACAAACCTCCCTTGGTGGCAGGCACTGTGACACAGACAGACAATGAGCCAGACAGAAGGGCAAGCAAAACCCTGATGAGAAACAGGCACACTCACTTGCATACCCAGGTGCCACCAAACAGAAGGGCCCAGCGGTGGCCCTGCCAGGCTGGGCCAGGAACAATACTCTCTGACAGCACCAGGAACCATCTCCGCCTTGAAATCTAGGTCACAGCAGCAGGCACTGAGCCCAACCCCTCCTGATAATCCGAGGACAGAAGGGGTTTGCAGGGGAGGTGGGTTAGGGAAAGGGGTCCAGCAGTGCACAGCAGGATGGGGGGACAGGGAAAGTTGGAAGGGAAAAGGCATCATGGGAAGGTAACAAGGAGAGACTGCCTCCCCGGAGGAGACACTGGGGCCACGCCATCTAGAAAAGAGGGCAGAATGCAGGGTCATGCTGCTCTCCTGTCACATGGAAGAAGAGTTAGTAAATACGAGCGATCCTGTGGGAGGGGAGCGTGTATGTGCCAATCTCTTGGGAGGAGTTAAGTAAGATTTAGGGCTCTGAATCTACAGGGGAGGTGGGTGGGAAGGGATCAGTATGTGTAACACACCCACCCACAGAGGCTGGGGGGCAGCAGGAAGGAGCTTCGTAAGAGTGAGACAAACCTAAAGAAGTCCCCAGCAGAGGTGGGAGTGGCAGTGGAGTCGTGCGTGCATGCCAGGATCCCATGCACGGATGCTGCTCTTTGGGTGTGAGCCCAGGAGCAAGGAGGAGGCAGTGAGTACGTTTGGATGTTCTGATTAAGGGAGGCGTACATGTCGGGCCTACATGTGGGGCTGCGGGTATGCTGGCTCTGAGTGTACGTGGGATGTGTTTGTGTCTGAACCAGCAGAAAGCGTGTGTGTAAGAAGGTATATAACCACAGGCTCACATCCAGAGGGGTGCAGGCAGAGCCTGCAAAATGCAAAAGAGAGATGTGATTGGGAGAGGGAGAGACAGGGAGGAGACGTGCAGAGGGAGCACAGAGTCCACAACAAGAAGGCTGCAGCCTCAGCTCAGCTGTTACCATAGCAACCTCAGTTCTGGGTGCCCCCCCTCGAGTCACCAGGACAATAACACCACTGGATGGGAGGGGTTTGGGGAGTGGTGAGTAAGGAGGGACAGGATAGGAATAGGGGTCCCCAAAGGGAGCAAGGAAAAGCATTCTGGTTCTCTCTTCTGGAGGGATTCCATCTGTCTGAGCCTGGGTGTGGCCTCAGGAGCAAGAGCAGAAGACTTTGGGGGAACTTAGGGGCTGTGAAAGATGGAATCTCCTCACATGGCTCCCAAGTCTCACTGATCAACTATTATGCCTGGACCAAGCTGGCCACGGTGGGTCTTGGCAGAACGTGGCTCTTCCATCCTCCGTCTTGCATTCCTCACCAGATTCAGAATCCCTTTGAGCCTGTGGAGAAGTCTCCTGCCTCCCCGGCTCTGAAGCAGCACAGGGGCCTTCCCAGAGAACAGCAGGCCGACTGGGCGTAGACCACTCTTGGGACAGGATACCAGGGCAGGAACCCGGGAGAGGGAGCTGAGGCTGCCAGGAAGTCAGTCCCCTTCCCTCCCAGCTCATTCTGTGTCCTACTCACCACTTCCTCACACCTTCCTTCCCCCATCTCCTTCCTCCCTTTCCTTCCAAGCTGACCCCAGGAGGCACCCTGGCACAGGTGGGACCAGCTGATGATGCTGCGGAAGGGGGCCGGAAGGGGGCCAGAGGTGCTGAGGAGACCAGGTGGGCGCTCTTGTGAGCCTGGGGCAGGAAGAGGCAAGCCTCAGAGACGCGGGGCAAAACAGGAAAACTACCTGTGGAGGAGGTGTCAGCAGCCAAGGAAATGCTGAGCATTCTGACATTAATTCCTGGAAGATTATCCCTCTCCCCAGCATTCAGTTCCAAATCCTCAGTAAATTTAACAAGTGAGAAGGAGGCTAGCGGATTAGGAGTCGCTGCCCCTCCTTCCCTCACATCTGCTGCAGCTGTCTAAGGCGGAGGGGAGGGCCACCCCACACAGCTGTGAGGACCCCGGAGATCCCTGAAATGGGCAGGGAAGGACTCCAAACATTCAAGTCCTGAGGCCCCAAGTTAGGTGCAGTAATCCAACAGAGGCGGGGGAATGAGATGGGAGGGAAAGTAGGGTTCCAGCCATCCTATTTTCAATGGCATCTGCACCACAAATTCAAGCTGTTCCATAATTTATTTCCTTTAATATACTCAACTGACTTTGTCCCTAAGCTTCTATCCAGCTTGGGCAGGGGGAGCGAGGGAGGACCATCTTTATTCCTGTAAGAAAGGAGGAAAAGGGCTCTGAAACTTCAGTCAGTGCCAGAGTGGAGGGGAGGCAGGACACCTGCGTCCCAAAATGTTCAGTTTGAGAAGCAAACTGGGTTGCCCCTGGGCGTGGGTACAGGGCTTAGCGTTCTAAAGAGCAGGGCCTGAGCCAACATGAGAACAGATGATAACGGGTCAGGCAGGGAGAGGAGGCCCGTGCCTGTGCCCAGTGCATCTTCATACTCCTCCCAGCTCCCAACTGTCTCCCATCTCTCTGGTTCTTCTTTCTTATCCATTTTTGACCCCTGGACCTTCAGTCTCTTCTCTTAGTTTCCCTTCAGTGGGCTTGCACCCCATTCAAGGGTGGCCATGAACACCTAGGACTCCTGACCTCTGTGACCTGAAGTCCCCACCTGAGCTCTCAGAGCCACCGTCAGGAAGGAGTTTGAGCCCCTGTGGGGTGTGGTGGAAGGGAGGAGGGCTACCTGTGCAGCAGGTGTCTCAGCAAAGGAGATGCAGCTGCTGACTGCCTCCTGGGTGACTCCCCACAACGTGTGTCAAGTGAGCCTCTGTGCAATTCAGTGTGACCCACTTCTCTATGCATGACAGTCCAAGCACACGTGTTGGGCACAGGTGCCGCAGAAAGCAGACAATCAGGGAAGCCAGCAGCCTAGGGCATTGCTGGCACTCACCCCAACAGAGTGTTTAACCACAAAGGGAAGAGCAATTAAAGCTAATCGCTCTGACAGCCCGGGGGGCCAGACACACCACACGCCACACACACACTCTGCATGTTCCTACTAACCCCCTGCCTTCTTCCTCCCCAACCTGTAAGCCTCTTCAATTTACTCCAGCAGGCTGCATTCCTCTGACCATCTCTGCCCCTGCCCCTGCCTCTGACTGTATCGCTATCCCTTCTTCCACACACACACACATTCCTCTCATATTCTCTCTCCATCCTTGGCTGACTCACTTTTTCTTCTCTCCCTTTCTCCCACTCCCTCCCCCATCATCCCAGGGCTACTCAGAAGCCTGGAAACTAGCTACTTTCCAGCACCCCGAGTTCTCACTCTGCCCAGCAAGAGGACCACCAGATGCCCCTCCCTTCACTCCCACTTAGCCAAGAATACTGGACCCCATTAGCCTTCACGAGCCAGTCTCCTCCTCCTAGAGGTGTTCTTACTGTTTAAAAAGTAGTGACCTCAAGTTCAGAGCCAAAAAAGCTGCCCTGAAAAATCAATGTCGTCCTGAGGACAGTGGTCCCTTCTATCCACTGCCCAGAGGTCCTGTTCAACTGGCATCTTGGAGCCCATAGTCCGGGGTACTCCACATGGAAGCCGCCGGGGTTGTGGCAATGTGATCTGGCGTGTGCGAGACGATGTGTGTAAGAGTCACATGGGTGTGTGTCACTATGTGTGCTGGCTGGCTCCTGTAGGTGTGCGCGTGCCCCTGTCAGTTTCGACACGAAGTGTACGGAATTAATTAGAGGTTTTAGCTTAGAGACATCATCACTCCTCTACACCCCCAGCGCCTCCTCCGTCCCTCGGGACAAACCTTCGCCAATCCCACTTCTTCCCCAGGTGGTGGCGAGGGCACGCGCCGCCGGCGGCCGGCTGCCCGCGGAACTGAGGCGGGGCCCGGCCGGGAGTCGGCCGGCGGGGGCGAGTCCGGCCGAGGCCGCGAGGGAGGGGCGGGAGCTGGCCCGGCCGAGCCGGCTGGGCGGGAAGCAGGCTGCATCCCAATTCCCAGGCCCGGGTCCGACTCCAAGCCGCCGCCGCTCAGCGTGGAAAGGGCGGCCCAAGCCACGCCGCCCGCAGCACACGCTCGGGGTCCGGGACGCACCGACAGGAAAGGATTCATCCGGGGGTCCCCACGCTCCCCCACCTGTCCCTCGGGGTCCCGAAGGATCACCCCCTCTCAACACAGACCCGAATCTGCTCCTTCCCCACCACTCATCTCCTCACCGCCTCCGGAGCTGAGCGCTCTGGGAGCGGGCGCTCCGGGGTCTCCGGTTCCTGAGCAGCGTCTGGAGCCTCCTCCTCGGTTGCAGCCGCCGCTCCTGCCGCCGCCGCCGCCTCTTCCGCCCGCGGAGCCCGAGCCCAGCGCCGCCTCACCCCACCCGGCTGGCCGGTGATGTCAGAGCCGGGGAGGGGCGCGAGGAGGGGGCGGAGAGGGGAGGCCGGAGGGGCGGGGGACGGAGGGGCCAGGGTTCTGGAAGGCTCCCAGGACGGGGGGCGGGGGGACAGAAATGGGAGGGGAGCCGGGGCAGGGTCGCCGCCCCTTCCCCCTGAAGTGCCAAACAGTTCTCCGTCTTCATTCTTTGCCTGGTGGGACACCCTTCCCATGTGACCGTGGGTTGACCACAAAGCCTAGGACCCCTGGGAGGCTTAGGAATGTGGAAAGCCTTTGACCCGTAGGTTCTCTTAGCTGCTTGCTTTGGTGTTTGACAAAAGGTCTTTCCTGAGCCTTGCAAAGGGAGACTGAGCCTGAGTGATCGGACTTGCCCACGTTGCGGTGGGGGAAGGGCGAGCAGTCACGTGGGGCCCTCCTTGACTTGACCCGGAACTGTGATTGGGGGCTTGGGGGGGTCCTCTGCAGGGTGAGGATGCTAGCAGGCCCCCTTGTTTTCTTCACACCTTTCCCCCATACACTCCCTCTCCTGCCATCCCCCACCATGATGTAATTTTATTTTCTGGGGAGAAAAAGAACAGCAGTGAGCTCAGTATGCAAATATAGACAACTTACAAAGCCACTCTTAGCTGGTCTCCTAGCTCTGGCCCCCTGACTGGGCCTAGCATGGTCGCTCTCACTTCCCTTTCACCTCAGGGACTTTCCTTCCCCCAGATTCTCAGCCAGACTGAATGGGGGAAGGGAGAACTGGGGAAGCATCTGCTTTCACCCCCAACAAACAACTGCAAGAAGGTCTCAACTCTGATGTGGTCCAGGTTTCGGAAGAGGCAGGAGCATCCCTGGAACGGCCCCACCTTGTCTGTCCAGCCTGGCGGAGACCTGAGACCTGTCTGAAAGCTGCTCCGCTCTGGCTCTGTACCAGGCTCCCTTCCCGCTGCTGCCCCATTTGACAGCTTTCCTCTCCCCCAGTGTGCCCTGGCACTGACCCTTTGACAGGAATGTACCCTCCTGATGGGTCTTTTTGTAGCTATTTCTTTTGTTCTCATCTCAGTTGTGGGTTCATCCTGTGTCATTGACCCACCCCTGGAGGCACAGAAAAGACTACACAGTGTGCAAGCCCAAGGCTCCCACCTCCTGGAGGTTACAGGCCCAAGGGCCATGGACAAGTCACTCCCCAAAGCTCAGTGTCTCACCGCTGCAGTGGGACTGCCAGTGCCCTATAAACATTACTTTGTTTACTTAATTGAACTAGCATGCTGAGCGGTATCCCCTGCTTCATCCCCCCAGCTGCCTACAGTGGCCCGGCTGAGCTAGACTGAAGCCAGAAATTCAGTCCAGGTCTCCCACACAGGTGGCAGGAAGTCAGACCTGCTGTCTCCTGGCATGAGCATCAGCAGGAAGCAGAACTTGGCAGCAGAGCTGGGACTGGGCCCAGAAGCACATCTGTATGGGATCTTGGTATCCTAAGCAGCATGTTGACGACTCTGCCAAGCCCCTGCCCCACTGAAGTCTCTTGGATAGGGTTTTACTCAGATTCAGAAATAGTAAATCTCTAGGGACTGACACAGTTGGTTACTTAAAAAGGAGCAGCTGTGTTTAGTTCAGGGTCTTCCACAATCCTGTGCTAGATGGTCAACTCTACAAAATAGTTGTGTTAGCCTGGTGCCCACACTGAGAATGTTTGCTCAAGGGGTACTACACGTTGGATGAATGCATGCTTTCTGTTTTCTTCTTGGAGTGTTTCCTGGATTTGTCTGTGGTAAGTGAACACTTTTCTAACCTCAGGTCCCATTTATCCAGACTTAAGTCCTCAAAGGTCCCTGCAACCCCTTTACTCTTGACCCTTGAAAAATACATCTGTTATCTATGGATTTGTTCATCTGTTTGTCTCTTCTTTCCCCTGCCCCATACTGTGAAATCCCTTTCTACTTACCCCAGCTGAGAACTATACTGGAGAGACCCCGGCTTGCCCTCTAAGTACTTCAGCAGGCCCAGGTGTGGGAGGCCATTGTACGAAACTCATTATATCACTATTCCATCACCACTGTAACTGGTTCTCACATCTTCAGTCTATTATAACAATTCCGTGGCATTGTTTGCTAAGCCTCTGCCTGTGGCACCAGCAGTTGGAGTCCTGACTGTTCCACTTCTGATCCAACTCCCTGCTTATGATCTGCGAAAGCAGTGGAGGGTAGCTTAGATCCCTGCATCCACATGGGAAAACAGAAGAAGATCCTGGCTTCAGATCTGCTCAGCTCCAACCGCTGAAGCCATTTGGGGAGTAAACCAATGGGCGGGAGACCTCTTTCTCTGTCTTTCCTTCTCTGTGTAACTCTGCCTTTTAAAGAAAAATAATTTTTTAAAAGATTTATTTATTTTTATTGGAAAGGCGGATATACAGAGAGGAGGAAAGAGAGGAAGATCTTCCGTCTGATGGTTCACTCCCCAAGTGGCTGCAACGGCAGGAGCTGAGCCAATCCGAAGCTAAGAGTTTGGAGCTTCTTCCGGGTCCCCCACGCGGGTGCAGAATCTCAAAGCTTTGGGCCATCCTTAACTGCATTCCCAGGCCACAAGCAGGGAGCTGGATGGGAAGCAGGGCCGCCGGGATTAAAACTGGCATCCATATGGAATCCCAGGGGCGTTCAAGGCAAGGACTTTAACCGCTATGCTATTGCACTGGACCCAGTACATTTTTTTTTAAAGTTCTGTCTCAGTATTTCTGTCCCTGCCACTGAAATCAGCACCATCTCCCCTCTTTGTATCCATCCTGTTCATTGCTATCGTATTTTTTCCCATCCTTCCTGTCTCACGAGGTTAAATTCAAATACCTCTCTAATCCGACTTCATTATGCTTCCCCAGTCTCATGCTACGACTCAAATTTCCATTCTTGTCTTTGATCTATTTGCCCCCAATATGACAAGCACTTCTGCCAGTATTTTTGATGTTTCCGTTGACTGCATAGTTTCCTCCTGAGCTCCGCTGCCTGCAGCAACGCCCCGCTCTTCAGTGTAAAGGCTAGTAAACGCTCCTGTCTCTTATGGAATCTTCAGACCCACTATCATCCTCTCTTCTAAGTCTATACTGTTTCTTCACATGTTCCTCTTTTTTTTTTTTTAATTGATTAATTTATTTGAAAGTCAGAGATCCAGGGAGAGAGGGAAAGGCCACAATAGCCATGGCTGGCCAAAGCCAGGAGTCAGGAACTTTTCTAGGATTCCTGCATGGGAAGCAGGGACCTAAAGACTTGGGCCATTTCCCACTGCTTTTCCCAAGTCATTAGCAGGGAGCTGGATCCCGGAAGAGGAGCGGTCAGCATGGATGGCAGCATCTCCGCTTTACCTGCTACACTACCACACTGGTAGTGTAAAGTCAGATACACAGAGAGGAGAAGAGACAGAGAGAGAAAGATCTTCCATCCGTTGATTCACTTGCCAAGCAGTAGAAACAGCCGGAGCTGCACTGATCCAAAGCCAGAGCCTAGAGCCTTTTCTAGGTCTCCCACGCAGGTGCAAGATCCCAAGACATTGGGTTGTCCTTGACTGCTTTCCCAAGCTGCAAGCAGGGAGCTGAATGGGAAACAGGGCTGCCAGGATTAGAACCAGCATCCACATGGGATTCTGGGCGTATACAAGGTGAGGACTCTAGCCGCTAGGCCACCATGCCATGCTCCCTGCCTTCTTTTAACAAATGTTTACTACAAATGAATCTCTGTGTGGTAGGCCCTGTGGGTACAAAAGAAACCTTCTTTCTGCCTTCCAGAGACTCACTGTTGACTGGAAAGGACAAGTATATAAATGAAGGACTACCGTAGAATGTTCTAAATTCTGGAATGGCGATGTGCATGGGAAAGACAGTGGGAACACATAGGAGGGAACTTTATAGGCAGGGTAGCCTCCAGGAAGGCCTCGCTCAGGGAATAATGGGGGGGCTCGGTCGTGGTGTTCAAACAGAAGTGGCAGGGAGGTGCTGTTGAGCAGCATGTAATCACTTAATTACACATGGCTTTGTGTTTTTCGGCAATTGTTTAGTTTGCTTGTCTTGACTTCTCATTGAAGGTAATCAGCTCCAGAGCAGGGATGGGCCTGGCACTCTCTGTTCTCCCAGAGTCTAACAGCAGCTCCAGCTGAACTCTATGTGTGCAAAAAAAGGCTTGTTGGCTTGAAGCAGACAGATAATCCAGTTTTTCTGGGACAACTGCCTGGGGTGGGGCAGTTGGGGGAGGGATCCACACCTGCCCACCCCACCCCTCAGCTCATTCTTCACATAGCACCCACACCTCAATCCTCCATCCTCTGGCCACCTCCCTCCTGCCAAAGGGGTGAGACTTCATCAACAGACACTTGCTTATGCTGCCCCAGATCTTTTTATTGAGGCCTCCCATTTGACCCAAATACATTAACAAGAAATTACTGTGATCTAACCCCAAACACGGTGCCCTCGCTTCCCCCTGGCCAGGGTCAGGACACTGAGAGGACGTAGGACGTGGGCTAGGGGGAGAAGGCTGGGCATTGAGGAAGAGAAAAGAGTCGGGGCCCATAGATCTGTTAAGAGGACTATCACAAGAGAAGAGTGGAAGGAGTGATGGAAGAATCAAAGCTAGAGGTCAGTTATGGAATAAGAAACAAGAGTCAGATGAGAGAGAGCTTGGCTGGGGCCTAGGGAAAAGTAGCTCCTTTCTTCATCAGATGAGGGGGATCAAGGTCGCAGCACCCAGCCCATAGACCCCCAACGGGCCCTAGGGCAGAGAGACCAGGAGTCCCTGAAGGAGCTACAGGAAGGACAGGAGAGTAGGAAGGAGTTTGAGAAGGACAGGTGGGGCTGAGAGATGGCTGCCACAGCACCTAGTCATCATCATCGTCGTCGTCATCATCGTCATCCTCGTCATCGTCGTCCTCTGTGTTGATCTCGCCCTCCAGCACGTCCTCCAGCCAGTCCTCCAGCTCTTCAGCAGAAGGGAGGTCCTCCTCATCGTCCATCTCCATCCACACACTGTCCGCCTAGGGCGACAAGGTTGGACTCAGAAGCTACAGCGATCAGTGGCTTTGGGCCCGTCCTTCCAGTTCGTCAGCTTGGTACGTCCTTCTCTACCATCCTCCATCCCTTCCTTTAATTTGGCAGTGAGAACTGGCCAAGGGAAGGCCTAGGTTAGGAAAGTGACAGATGGGAATGGAAAGGAAAACTGGATTGATAAATGGGCCTTCTGTCTTCCATCTGTCTTTCCTACTCGCGCCATGCCCAGCTTCCTAAAACAGACCTCTGTGTCATGCCCTTGGTGCAACCCCTTGGGTGGCTCTTCACAGCCCACAGAATCAAGTCAACAGTTTGTCAGCACTCAAGGCTTTTTACAGCTCCTCTTCCTTCTTTAACGCTCCCTAGACCCTCAATCCATTAAAAAAAAAAAAAAAAAAAAAAACTTTCCTTTTCCTAACCCTAATAACTCATTTTCCTTCTTTTGACCTTTTGATCTTACTTTTTTCTCAGTTTGAAAATAATTTCCTTTAATCATCACTTGTTAAGGCCCTACACAGTGTATAACCTCCATCTTGAGTGCCACTCTCTCTTAAACCCTTCTCTGATCATCTCAAGCACAGATCATGTGATCTCTGTGCCATCTTAGCATTGCATTTTAAATTTGATCAGATCCAGTCTTGTTAATAGAATACCACCACCACCACCCCACCTCACACTGACACACACACACACACACACACACACACACACTGGAATACAGTGAAAGCAAAGATCATAGCCTATTCAACTCAACCATTTTGAAACACCTACTAAGTGCGTAAGAGAAGATTACTGCCCTCAAGGAGCTCAACATCCACTGAAAGAGATATGATACATCAAGAGCCATTTGAAGGTCATTTTCTCAGCCAAATGAGCTTTGAGAATACCACAGAAGGAAAGATTCCAAATGGCAGATCTGAACAACTGTACAGAGGAAAAGGAACTGAACCAGGCCTTGAAGCATGAGCGCCTTCCTCCGACAGAAGAGGACATTAGAGTGGGCATTGCTGATCAATTGAGCGTCAACCAGGGATTCGGGAAGGAAACTCACATCAGTAACATTGACGACTCCTATTTGTGGAGCTGACAAGTCGATGTCAAACGTCTTCTCCCAATATGGGACCAGCTGCAAAGAGATCCAAACATGACAACTTAACGGAATCTGGGTGCATATGACCGCAGGAGGGTGATGGGAACATCACCCGGGACAGAAAGGGAACGGCCCGGATTAAGGTAGCTTTCCTTGGTTGGCACCAATGTTGCTCGCATTTCTGTTCATTCAGTTACTCACCCGACAATGCATGTTAAGGGCTGGGGATTCTGCTGAGACATGGAGTCTTTGTGCTGTGAGCCTGCGACTGAGTGTGTATACCCAAGGTCAGGGGAATTGTGCTCGGCTCCTCACCAGAACTCTGGTTTTTCTCCAGGCCTCAGTCCTGGCACAGGAGCCACCTGCCCAACCTGCGCTCTGGGAATTGTGTGTGCTATCTCTTGCAGCTCTCTTCTTGTCCTGTTTCTTCTGCCTCCAGTAGTCCTCTCTGCCCTCGAGTATGCAACAGACATGGCCTCCCCAAGGTCCTCCAAGCTTGGCCACGGGAATGAGAGCCCGGAAACAAAGTGCCCTGTTCAGCAGCTGCCTTCCCTGAAGCCCTGGCCTTAGGATGCTCATGCCTGCCCCCACCTCTTACCAGAGGGAAATCGTCGGGGTCAATCCAGATGATGCTCAAGTCAGGGTTGTCAGTGTTATCTTGGGCCACAGCCTTGAGGGTCTCCAGGAACTCGTAGCCATCTTGAAGAAAGCACAAGGGAAAGGTGTGAGGGGAGGCAGAGGAAGGAGACACAGCAGAAACAGACGTCCAGATGTGTCTCCCTGCCTCCCACAACTCCACATGGCTGGAGCCAGACTGCCTGCACGCTCCCAGGAAGAGACCTCGCAATGTGGAGTCCCACGTTCCAACAAGCTGACCTGCCTCCCAAGTCCTTCCTCCCACTCCAATCCAGGACACCTCCCTTACCAGGATCCGCTTCCTCAGCAAAGGCCACAATATGGATTCCATCCATATCGTCCTCCTGTAAGAGGGCAAGAGAGAGAACAGGGCTGGGGAGGAGTCTTACTGCCCCCCTCACAGCTGCGAGCCTAGACAATCCCTAGCTGTTCCTTGAACTGGATTGTGAGGAGACCCAGCTGCTGGACCTAGTTTGTGTCTGTGGAGATGACCCCTTTCCTGGTGGCACTGTCCCTTGCAGCTCCAGAGCCCTGTACCTCCTCTGGCAACCCCTTTGCCCCAGAGCTTGGGGCTCCTCCCTTGTCTTCTTCATCCACTTGGGTCTGCCTGCCAACTCCTGATAAGGCCTTCAGAAGACCCTCCACTTGGTCTGCACACTGTTTGTTCTCCAAGTGGGCATGCCATGCAACAGGGTGGGATGTTTCCAGGGCTCCTGTCTTCAGCCAGCTTTGCTCCCCGAGGGCCTGGCCAGGGGTACTCACCCAGGTCTCATACATGCTCTCCGGCTTCAGCTTCCTCAGGGTTGATCTAAGAGAGGCAGACAGAGGGTCACCAGCCCCCTAGCACAGGCTGCCTGTGGGTCAGGCTCGGGGCACAGACAGCTGGTAGCCCAGAACAAAGCCATCTGACAAAGGTCTGGGCAGGAGGCCCAGATCAGTGCGTGGCTAAAGTGGCGGAGAGGGGAGGGGGACAGCAGGCCTGGAAAGAGAGGCTTTGGGGGAAAAGGTAAGAATTGGGCATCTGGGGCTTCATAGATTTTCTTTTTTTTTTCCATTCATTCCTTCAGCCTTTCCCTAACATTGAGTGGTGTGTTCTAACACTGTACTAGATGTGGGCTGGAGCTGAACCAGGCCAACATGTCACTGTCTGACCAAAGGGGGCCATAATCTAGTGGGAGAGAGTAAGTAGTATTTATACTGATGAGTGGGTATTTTCAGTTGTGGAGTACAGTGAAGGAAAGAGAATTATAAGTGAGCTTAGGGGAGGGTTTTTCCACCTCAGCACTTCTGACATTTGGGGCCAGATAATTCTTTGTTGTCTGCGTGGTGCTTGGGGGCGAGGGGGTGGGGTTGGCGCTGTCCTGTGCACCGTCAGATATTTGGCAGTGTCCCTGGCCTCTGGCTGCTGGACATCACTGGCACTGCCCATCACCATTATGTGATGGGCAAAATCCTCCTCCTCCTCTCACCAGTCCTTCCACCAACTGCGGTGAGAAGCACTGGTGTGGGGTAACATGTTACATAGAACCTGGGGCTGACCAGGGTCAAGAACCACAGCGCCAACACTCCCCCTGCAGCCTCTCTGACTGAGATTGTCAAAGGGATAAAATACAGTAAGAAAACAAGCTCCTGGCAGTTGTCGGCAGACCACAGACACACAGATCATTTCAGGTTCGACCAACTTCACAGCAAAGTGCACACATTTGGACGAGAGGGTGATTGATCCTCTGTGTTGGGGTGCACTGTAGCGTGCACAATGAGCAGCTTCTCAGTGAGCCCTCGTGTTTGGGGGTTGGGGGGCGTCCAGCTTCCTGGCTGGCCAGCTGCTGGTATCCCAGCCGAGCCCACCGGGGGAGGTGGCCCTCCCATCCCTACCTCCTGTGCTCCTCCACGAAACTGACAATCTCCTCTTCGCTGTTGGGCTTGTCTGGGATGGTCACAGGCTCCTCCATGAAGGCCTCGTAGAAATCGATCTCGTTCAGCTTCAGGGTGAGCTTCTTTGCCACCTTAGGAGGAGCAGCGGGGAGGAAGAGGAGCAGGGGAAGTATGGGGGAACACGTATTAGGAAGGGACTCAGAAAACCTGCATTCCCCCATTCCTGCCAGGGGTCTTTTCTGGGCTTAACATGAGAGGGGTGGATTGGATCAACTAATGACCCAGGAGGAGCTGAGGCACGCACGGGGAGTCTGCCTGCAGCAGGGACCAAATCCCATGGGGTCTGGGAGAGAGAGAGAGAGAGAGAGAGCTAGAAGGGGCAGCTCAGGGGGGGAGGGAAACCCATTCCAGCCATGGGCAAGAAAGAGAACCTTGCTGTCGAAGGTGGCGAAGAAGGGGATGTAGGGGTGGAACTCCTCTGCCGCGTCCTCATAGGCTTTGTAATCTGAGGGGGGGAACGTGCAGTGAGTCTCTGGCAATCCAGGGTCCCCAGGGCATATTGCCCTGCTCTGTCTCTGAGACCAGTCCAGGGGGTCTGGACAGGGAACGGGGAGGAGCTGTCCGGGAGTCCTCCCAAGGGCAGTGGATGGAGATGACTATGGCAACAGCAAGAGGTATAGGGAGTTAGGGGCAGTGAAGGTCAAGTGGGAAGACAGGCAGACAGGTGAGTTGGGGGGCCCTGGGAAGGCACCATGGAGTCTGGGTTACCCACGCTCTGAGTCTTTGTTCTTGAAATAACCAATAAGTTTGATTTCATCCTCAATGTTCTCAAATGCCTGCAGCTCTTTTTCACCTTCGATCAATTCCACAGGGTCCTCTAGGACCTGGAAAGGCAGAGATATCGAAGTGAGTTTCTATCCCACTGATAGAAACAGGGAAGGGGGGGGTGGGGTTGAGGAGGAGGATGGGGACTGGACAAGAGAGTAGATAAGATATTGATTCTCTCTCTGTGTCGGGGTCAGCCGAGCCAATGGACAGTGGCGTGCTGAAGCAAGGTAGTCAGGTCCAGGGACTCTCACATCAAGCAGAAACTCCACCAGGGTGTCAGCAGAAAACTCGCCGTCGTACTCAATGACTTCATCTCCCTTGAACACATAAATGCTGTCTTCTTCAGTTAGTCCTAGGGAGGAAGCAGGAGCTGAGCCAGGATCCCAACCTTCCCATTTGAAAATCCTCCGGGACCCCACATCTCCAACCTCTCCTTCCCCTGTCCCACTCATTGCCACTACTCTTTACTCCTGTACCCTGTGTTCCTGTCTCTGGGTGTAGCCTGGCTTCAGGGCCTCTCAGGGGAGAAGCTAAGGCTGTGGGTAAAGGGAGGAAATCAGAAGACACTGATTTGTAGCAATGTTTCTCCTCTGTCTGTGAGATAGACAAATATTCATGCTTATCTCCTCTGAGGACTGCAGTAGCTGATTCTCAGTCCGGCCCTTTAACTTGGCTATTACTGACCAGATGACTTCATTATTACTAAGCACCCATCCCCCATCCGTATCCGGAGTCCAGGCCCACAGATGTGCTGCCCCCTGGTGGCTGGACTCTATAACACTTGGTCACTGCCGTGGAGGTGGGGGGAGTTGGAAGAGGAGTTGAGTGGCTTGAGTGGCTTGAGTGGCCTCGTCCTCCCCCAAGGCCTCCTCAGCCTCACGGACCGCTGTTCCCTCTCTGCTGCTCCCTCTCCGCTCTTACCTAGTTTCTTGGCCACAGCTGCATCCTTCTCGGAGTCCACCAGCCCAAAACCAACTCCTTTGTCTTCCAGGACTTGGGCTGCTAACTGGAGGGAGGGGGTAGTATTAAAACCTGGGAAATTCTCATTAACCCCTATTTCCCATCTCATGCTTTCAACTCAGGCTAACGCGGGTGCAGCTAATAGGAGTTGACCTTGATCCTTTGCAGAGATCCTGTGTATTCCCAACTTAGAACCCTTGAGATCCTCTGACAACATCTATCTTCAGTTGGACTTTTTTTAGTTCATGAATATTTATTGCTCATTTGCAATGTGCTTCTTATGTTGAACTTTAAAGCACTGCACTTGACACCTCCCAGGTCTTGAGGCATGCTAGGGAGTCTGGCTGCCCTGTGACCGTGACCGAGGGTCTCTGCCCTTGATGTACACCTTGATCCCAGGCCAAGCCAGTGTGGGCGTGAGGATAGAAGCCCCTAGGATTCTTCAGAGTGGCTCCCAGTGGCAAGAATTCTGGAGGGCGAGGGGCAGGGACTGTGGTGGTGTGCTGAGGACTGGATCAAGCCAGAGTTGAGAACAGAGGCACTTACCACATTTCCAGGGAGAGGCACTGCCAGACCCGAGACAGCCCACTCCCCCATTGCAGAGGCATGTCCAGGGTGGTGTCTGTCTCCATCAGCTGCCCAGCCCTGTGCTCCACCCAGACTCACTACCCAGCTCGCCCTCGACTCAGCCAGACTCAGATGCCATGATTCTCAAGGGGGACGGGCCAGGGAGGCACTTGGCAGGTGGATGGCTGGGGATACTGAGCACTCAGGATAAAAATACCCGGCTCATTAATCAGATGGCAGGTTCCAGCGCCCAGCAGGGGCACATAGAAATGCTCCTGGCATCTCAGCCTGTACCGTTCCAAGATATGGACAGGCTGGGGTCTATCTGCACCAGCAAACCGGAGAGAAGGGACTGCAGAAACTGCAACGAGGAAAATGGAACACATACTGGCTGCTGGAGCACTGTATGGGAGCACACCTTCCTACACCCCAAAACAGGCGCAGCTTGCTTGCTTCTTGATGAAAATCCTTGTTCCCTCTTTTGGGTTGGAAGTTACAGACCCAGGGAGAGGGGACCCTTCGCACCAGGAGAAGATGGGGAAGGAGTTCTGAAGCCTCCCTCGGCCACTAGGAATTTCCCAGTTCTGGGGTCAAGCTTGATGGGATGGGGGCAGATGAGGAACTACAGAAAGGAAGAGGGAGAGAGGGGTTCGGGAGGCCAGCAGGAGGCAAGGAGATACTTCTGCATTTAGCTGTTAAATAAGTGACACTCGAGTAAGGTATCAATAGTATTTGATTGTATATTCAATTTGGCTATCTGTGAGCAATAACCCCTAAAGAATGGAGAAGGGGTGTGTTCTGGGGGTGTGCAGGGACTGCGATGCACCCCCACCTCAAGTGCTTCTCTTCTGGTTTGTCCCCATTCTTGTCAGACCCAGTACTTCCAGCCTCCCATGGCATGAGGGCAGGGGGGTACCCTGCAACCTTCCCTCGGGCATTGACCTGACCATGCCGGTGGTACTTGTACATGCCCGAGTGTGTGTTGGAGTTGGCTAAGGCTGTACACAGGCCACCTGTGTCTTGTTGCTCAAGACAGGGACCTTGCCACGCTGCCCCTTGGCCTCAGAGCCACCCTAGATGGTGTGCAGAGGGTTGCCGGAGAGGGGCTGGCCTCTGCGGGTCTGCGGGCACCCCCCTCTTACCTCCAAGATCAGTTCCTCCATCTCAAACTGCTTCAGGGAGGCCTTGTCATCCTCCGGGGGCTCGTGGTAGAGGAGTGCCAGCACCTCATACTTCTTGAACACGTTCTTGTAGTTCTTTGCGTTGACATTGATCACACGGTCCACGCCGTCGTACTCGGGGAAGTTCAACCCTTCCTCCCCGTGGACCCCCGACTCAGGTGAGCCTAGCACCAGCAGTAACAACAGCGCCAGCTGCAGCCCCGGCACCACCCTGGCCCCCATCCTGTTTGGAGCTTCCTGGAGGTAGTGAGATCTGGGTCGTGCACTCCTGGTCCAGAGGAGGTTAGCTGAGGTAGGGAGGTGCCCCTGGGTCCCAAATCTGCAAGTTAGGGGCTCAGGGTGGGGGTGACGTTGGGAGTGGCCCAGAGCAGGGGACAGAGGACCCTGCTAGGTCTTGGGGAAAGTGCAGACAGAGCCAAGCAGAAAAGGGTCAGGAGGAGGGATAGGAGCAGGGGGCGGGGAGGGAACCGGAGCTGCCCCCTGAAATTGGCCCCACTCAGGCCCCACCTGGTCCTGTCTAAATATGTCTCCGAGGTTGGCAGGAGAGACAGATAACCTTCTGAGGCCAAGACCCGCTCCGCGAAGGCCAGAGTCCTCCCACCTCCTGGACCTCTCCCCCAGGCCCCCGGGGCTCCTTCCCTCCCCCTCTTCCAAGGCCCAGGGCTCCTCAGCCCCTGGCCCCATGCAGAGCTCATCGCCATATTAAGAAAGGAAAGGGAGAGACGCCACACGCCGCTAAAAATAAGATCAGATGAGTCGGAGGTAAATGAAGCTGGCGCTGGGGGAGGGAGTGCAGGGGCCACAGGGAGAGCCCAGGGCAGGACAGGGGTGACTAGAGAGCAGCGCAGGCAGGTGGAGAGGAGGTGTGCTGGGGTCAGGGGCGAGACAGAGGACCTGTGACCAGAGGGGGAGAGATGTGACAACAGACAACCCAAGGTGGCAGCAGCTCCGCTGGAAGGGGGTCTGTCACTGTGATGCTGGGGGAGGGGCACTAACTGGGCTGTCCAGGCTGCACCAGACAGACCCCCGTGTGCCTCACTTTAAAGAGCCAGGACCAAGGATGAGGTCATTCCCTGAATAAAAGACGGAGCCCGGTCCAAGGCTGGCGATCTGGCTTGGGTCCAGCCAGTTTCCTTTGCTTCACTCAACACTCGTAACTGGGGAATGTGGGGCAGCAGTGGCCTGGCTACAATCCCTCCCATCCTGGGGCGAAGCAGATGCAGATTCGGGGTTTCTCTGGCCCTCGGTGAGAAGGGGAGTGCTGTGTCCGTGCTCTCTGCCCTGATCCTGTGGGATTTGGTTTTCTAGGGCACAGTGGGAAGGGAGCTTCCCCAGGCTTGCGTGATTCCAAGGAGAGTGAATAGCTGCTATTTATGCCTGTATCGCAGATGGAATGGATCAGATCTAAGTAGTAGAGGGTGAGGGGGATTCACAGGAGGAGGTGGGCCCTGTGCCCTGAACTGAGGGTATCAGTTAACTGTGCATTGGAGGCCACAGCGGAGTTGCAGGTGCACACTGGCTCCCAACCTGGAGAGGAGGGCAATGTGGAGGAGTTGGGCTTTGGACACCTAGAAAGAAGGGTCCTCTCTGTGGCCTTCCTGACCTGTCAGCATGCATGAGAAAACTGAGGCCCCAAGGCGGCTAGGACGACGGTCAGACATCTCACCCCTACCCTGTGGGATCTCTGATGCTGGGGTGAGGGCTGTGCAAGCACATTAACTTTTCCACCCTCCCATGGGGCAGACCTTACACAGTCAAGCAGGGCAGGCCGTAGAAAATCCCATCAACATGGCAGGACAGAGTCCAAGACAGACAGCTGTCCCTGCAGCCAGAGGGGCCAGAGCTCAGGATCCCATGTCCTGCCCTCTCAGGAGGGTAGCTGGCGTGGCCAGACCCCCAGCCGGGACTGGCAGACAGTCCTGCCCACAAGTAGGTGACCCAGATGACTAGCAGCCCCACTTTTTGTCTTCAGGAAACACCTGGACAGAAACATGGGAACAGCACTCTTGCCCCATCATCATTTTGTCCTTGGCCACTGCCAAGGGTGTGAGAGGGGACCACCACATGACTTTGGCCTACTCCATCTCTTACTCTCTCCCAGACGCGTTGGCTCTCCTGGCTCCCACCCATACCCTCTCTAGCACCTGCCCCTCTCAGTGCCTCCTTCAACTCTGATGCCTTACTGTCTGCCATCAACCCGCTTCCCTCCCCTCCAGCCCCTGCTTTCAGGCCTTTGGACTTAACACGCCTCAGTCATTGGTATCAAATGACCCCGAGTTGGGGCCTCTGTATTTTTAACCCACCAGACACCCAGAGCTCCAAGTTACTGAAACCTGAGCAGCTGGCCCCCAGGGCTCCCCCTTCCCACCTCACTCACAGACACCCCAATCCCTCCATCTTCTAGGGTCTTGTTCAGCTGCGTTGTCCATGGCAGCTGGGGAAAGACCCCAGACAGCTGGGGCCCTCACAGAAGGAGGGGGCACCGGGGAGAGAGACTGCTGAGCGAGGCCCGGAGGAGGCCAGGTCCAGCCCCTGTCCTCCAGCCCTAGCCACAGCCCTTCTACCACCACTGGCTAGTTTTTGGTTTTGTTGGTGTTTGTGTCTTGAGCCAGGCCTTGCCGAGGGTGAGGGTGCTGGAGGGAGGGGGAAGTTCTGGTTTCTTGGTGCATGGCAATGGTTAAAAGCAGGTGTAAATTAACTAGTGGTGTCTGTAGAGCTGTGCGGCCCCAGTGCCAGGCGTAGGGAGCAGCCACTTCATACGTGTCCATGTGCTTCATAAGAGCTGTTGGTTTTCTCTTTATTTGTTTTTAATATTAATACTTAATACTTATATTTAATACTTAATATTTAATATTTATTTATGTGAAAGTCCAAGTTATATTATAGAAAGTAGGACACACACACAGACACAGGGAGAGGTAGAGAGGTAGAGACAGATCTTCCATGTGTTTGTTCATTTTCCAGACGGTTGCAAAGGCCAGCTCTGGACCAGGAGCTCCTTCAGGGCCTCCTGCATGAATGGCAGGGCCAGGCACTTGGGCCATCTTATGCTGGTTTCCCCAGGCACATTAGTAGGGAGCTGGGTCAGAAGTGGAGCAGCTGGAGCTTGAACTGGTGCCCATTCAGAATGCCAATATCACAGATGATGGCTTTATCATCTATACCACAACACTGGCACCGTTTCCTTCAGCGTTCTCTCATTCTGAGTCTGAGGGTACTTCAGAAAGCTCGTGGGGAATGGGCTTAAGGGTATTTCAATGCAAAAAGTTTTGAAATCTACGCAGGTTTTTTTTTTTTTCCCCACAATATTTTCTATGGACTTCCTGAAGATCCCTCACACCCACACTTTTGGGCACAGCTGATCCTCTGCTCTGAGAGGGGTGAGCCGACCCACAACACCAAAAGGGGGCTCAGGAAGCAAAGGAAGCTGGGAGAGGAAGGGTGGAAGACAGGAGGGAAGGTTGCCTGAGATTCCTGACAGAGGTGGCCTGGGTGCCCGGGCCCCGGCCGCAGAGCAAACCTTTGGGAGTGTCCGTCACCCTCCACAGTGAGGGGTCAGGGGGGCTTCCCTAACTAAAGTCAAGTCCTGGGGGTTCCGAAGCGTTGTTATAACCTCCAATTCAAGAGCAAGCTGACTGAGCGGCACCCCCGGTCTGCCGGGGAGTCCTCCTCAGATGACAATGCCTGCTGCCTGGGAGACTGCTCCTGTGTAGCTTATCCTCTCGGGATGTCAGTTTCCGGGGTCTCTTCTAGAACTACAAGCCTGTGGTCTATCACCTAAGGATCTCCCAGAGCATGGGTGACCCTGCCAGCCCCCAGCTGTTGGCCAGCTGCCCCCTCTCAGATATCCTCCTGTCTCTGACCCCAGCTGGACTCTGGCGGCAGTTATTCGTCCTTTTCCTTCTCTCCAAGGGGTGGCATTAAGACAGGGCAAGGGTACTTAATTCTAACTCCCTCCCAGCATCCACCGAGGCGCCCGGCAGACTTGCCCTCCTTCACGGAATCCCCCACCACAGAGCCGGCACATCCAGCCAGGTGAGAGTGGTAACAAATGTTTACTCTCCAGAATGGCTCCTGTCTCTCGCTGCGGGGCTCCCCGTCACCCACCCCACTTCTTCCCACAGTCCCCACAGCCCAGCCCAGGATGGTCTGTCTCTCTCTCTTATCCAAGGACATTCACCCCAGTGTCTCTTAGCCCTCAGCCCGTATACTCTGTCTGGTGCTGTGGTGAATGTGATACCCCGGCTCTCCAATGCCCCTTGCTGTGTGCAGAGTTTAGTAGTAGGTCTCTCTCTCCAGCCAACCTGTGGAAGAAAAGGCACCAGCTTAGGACAAGGGATGGCAGAGGGCAGGTGGCATGGGAAGAAGGGCAGGAGGGAAAACGCGGACCAAAAGGGAAGCCTGGGGTATGGAACATGCAGTGGCACTAGCATGCAGGAGTGGAAAGAACAGGATGGTGGAGGTAGGGAGGTGAGGCTTGGGGTGCAGGCAGTCTCCGTGAAGGTCAGCAAGATGGGAGAGCCTTTTAGGGGGCTGGTGACCACTCCACAAGAACCAGCCCCTGGAGACTCACAGCCAGGCCGCTGACGGATCAAGAGTTTCCTGATTTCATCGTAGACGAAGATAAGGATGCTGTAGGGAACTGCGCAGAGCCACCAGGTTATCCTGTAGAGAACCAGAGTTGGGGGGGGTGGAGTGGAGAGAGGGAGGAACTCTGAGAGATGTGTGGGAACTGAGCAGGACAATCCTTGGGTCCACTCTGTGCCCGACAGAGAACTCGGTGAAGGCGACTCCATCCCTCTCTAGCAGTGAGGTGGTCAGAGCCTGAGGGGAAGGGATTGGTGGGGCAGAAGATAGGGGAGGCACTGGACAGAAGCACACAGTGCTGCTGATGACATCGTAGGGGAGAGGTAGTGTTCGTGGAGCTTTTTCTGCCAACTTTGGTAGAGTGGCTGAGAGAGACCTCTTTTCTTTTCCACACACTCTAGGCCTGCACCCGTGAAGGATGAGTCTCTCTGAGGCACTCCTCAAACAATCCACTCTTCCATGTTGCAAAAAAATGGGGCCACTTTTTTCTTCCTGAGCCTCTTTTCTAATTAGAGGGCAGAGATGAACCCCAAAGAGGGGCCCAATGAGAACCACGGTTGTTCCTCTCAGTTGAGACAGAAGAGTTGGCCTCAACCAAGAGCCCTGTCCCAAATTTTCTACTAAGCACATCAAGACGAGTGTAAAAAAATGAAATGAATTTCAACAATTTAATGTAATCCAGTCTCTTCAAAAGATGATAGTTTTAACATGTAATCAATAGACATTGCTGATAATTCAGTTTACAGTTTTCTTTCCAGCATCAATCTTAGAAACCCTGAGTATTTTAAGCTGACAGCACTGTCTCAACTCAAATATTGAGTTCTCAATGGTTTAAGCAAAATAGGTCAACCAAAGTGGAGAGTTGTATTTAATGGAAAAATAGTTTATACTTGCTTTAGTTTTTAACTTTACATTTTAAAGCATTTATTTATTTTTATTGGAAAGTCAGATATACAAAGAGGATGAGAGACAGAGAGAAAGATCTTCCATCTGATGGTTCGCTCCCCAAGTGACCGCAATGGCTGGAGCTGAGCCAATCCAAAGCCAGGAGCCTGGAGCTTCTTTTGAGCCTCCCACGCGGGTACAGGGTCCCAAGGCTGAGGGCCGTCCTCTACTGTTTTCCCAGGCCATAAGCAGGGAGCTGGATGGGAAGTGGGGCTGCCAGGATTATAACCAGCACCCATGTGGGATCCTGGGCGCGTTCAAGGCGAGGACTTTAGCCATTAGGCTACCACGCTGGGCTTTAACTTTACATTCAAATTAAATGAGAAATTCAGTTTGTCAATCTCTGTATTTCAAGAGGTCAGCAGTCACACACAGGCAGTGGCTACCATATTGGACAGTACAAGATCTGAGCCACACTTCCTTCTGCATGTATGCTTACAACAAATGCAAACATTTATACATAGTCATTTATTGAGCAGTAAGGGGTATGGTTGCTCCGGGTCTGTGCTAGGTTTGGGGGGGAAATAAAAATGTAACCATTTTGGTCTTGGACATCACTGGGTTCAAGGAATGGGAGAAAAGAAGTTGACTGCAAAATGAAGAGTCACAACATTAGGTGAAGGATTTTATGATCAGGGCATAGAGGGTTTAGAAGCACAGATAACGCTCAATTGCCTTCATTGTTACTTCTATGTTGATAGCAGCAAGAACAAAGCTGCTATTAACAGAGCATCCACCATAGCCCCAGCACCCTCTGTGCTTTGTCCCTGCTTCTGCCCGTAGGATTCTCCCCAGCTCTCTGCAGCTTTGCAGGTGAGGCTGATGCACAGAGTGCTTCTGTGCTTGCTCAAGGTCACGGGGTAAGAGGTGGAGCTGGGATCCAAAGCGGGGCTTGTCAGTGTTGGAGGCCAGTGGCGGGGTCTGTTAAACATTCACTGCTTTGTTGGAAGCATCAGGGAAAGCACTTCAGGGCATGGAAAAGTGAAAGAAGTATGCAAATGCGTGGGAACCGAGTTGGGAGACTAAATCAGTCTCAGAGACTACCTATGCGAGGTGGAGTAGTGGAGAAAGTGAAATAAGACTTTCACTTTTCTTCTCTGTATATTTGTAAATGGAATTTCTCACTACTCCCCCCCCCCCCCAAAGCTTAACTAATGTTTAGACAAAACAAAGACCTGGGAGTTGGACGAGACAAGGTACCAGACAGTAAGAATTTCAGTATGCCCACTCACACATAAATACATTAAAACATCTTTGCATAAATCCAAAAGGATTAGCTAAGCTTAAATTAGTCTATTTTTATGGTTACTTTGGATCCAAAGAATATGCATTGTAGAGCTACCCCACACATCTCACAAAAGGCTTCACTCTCTGAAACACTGGTAAGGCTGCTGCATTTGCATGTATAGTGGGTTGTAATCACTTGGCAGGGTTCCTAAGGCCTCCCTAGGGAAGACTCACTTATCAGAGCAGCGACACTCTCCTTGAGTCATTGAGTGTAGCCACATTTATCCAGGAAGCCCCGCCTTGCCTCCCTGCTCCCCCGTGCCCGAAGAACCCCTGCCTTGCATCACCTCCCCTTCCCTTACTCACTTGAGTGGGTACATTCGCAGGGCAAGATCCATGCCTGGAGTGTAGGACAGGAGGGCGGCCAGAAATGTCTCCTCCAGGAGCCCAAATATGAGGACCTTGTTTCTGGGATGAAGCATTTATGAATGTGTTGGGGGCAGGAAGAAAAAGCAGAAGGGATGGCTTGTGTCTGTGTGGGGGCGAGCACAGGGTGGGCATGGACGCTCACTTCATGCCCTGCTGGAAGACCGAGTTGCGGCGGGTCTTGCAGATGATGAGGTCAGCCCACTGCACGACCACGATGCTGGCGAAGAAGGCCGTGTGGCAGGTGAACTCCACCACCTTCCGCTGCTCGTAGGTCTGCAGGAGAGTGTCAGAAGGGGCTTACACACAAGCACGAGGCGGCTCATCTGCATGCTCTCACAGCACTTCACACGGATGCCTGCCTTTGCCTGCACGATGCGCTGTGACCACAATACTTCACACGGATGCCTGCCTTTGCCTGCTCACGTTGCACTGTGATTTGCGTGTGTTTCCCTTTCCTGACTGAGAACCATCTGGGACAAGGACCTTGTTTTTGTTGGTGCTTTCCTCCCCATGTTAGATCAGTGAGTGGCATGGAACATGGCCCGGTCAATATCAAGTTGGTAAGGAGGAGAAGGTGAACTTGAAAAGCAAGGCAGAGTCAAATATGTAAGGTAAGAAAGAAAGATGGGGCCAGAGGGTGATATGAATTTAGAGAAGAAAGGAATGCCTGAAGAGTGGTAGGTAGGAGATATCTGCCCATGCATTCATTCATACACATTTTCCATGTAAGGACCTTAGGGTCTGGGTGGAATATAAATATAATAACAACATCAGAATAATTGGTTATAAAATGGAGACCCTATAAGGCCCAGGGGCACTGAAGAGGTGTATTTGAATTAGACTATGAGGGGAAAGTCTGTATTAAAAAAAAATGAAATAGCCGTCATCTTTTACTGCAATCAGTTGCGCTTACTGGCGTGCCACTCGCTAGCATTTCTCGGTCAGTGCTTCTGTCTCCCTTTCATCCACGCCACTATTTGTGATTTCTCTGTAATTTTAAGTGCGAACAACCCCTCTTTTCTTTAGCCACCATCTTCACTTTCACATCACACTCATTCTAGGATCTCAATTCCAACATTTTTGGAACTCCATTGGACTTGAATTTAATTGACCAAATATATATTTGATTATCATCTCTTCTCCTCCCTTTGCCCACATTCACAAAAATAATGTAGTCATTATTGCTTGCTACTGTACTCCCAGGGCCTAGAACTGTACCGAGTATGTAGGAGAGTCTCAAAAAATATTTGTTGAATGAATGAATAAGGGATCATTGATGGAGCTGAAAATTACAATGATTCAACTGTATCAGTTTATTGTTCAAAGCAACTTCTCATCCATTTTGTGTCTATAGTGTGCAAGAATTCTTGTTACCTCAAATTACTTTTAAATTATCTTTAGTTTAGTATAAATACATACATGTCACAATGCATCTTGGTATCAGGGAAGAGAATCAGGCCGTAAAACTAACAAGGGCTAGGGGCTGGCATTGTGGTACAACAGGTTAAACCTCTGCCTTAGACAATGGCATCCCCTATTGGAGTGTTGGTTCAAGTCCCAGCTACTCTACTTAGCAACAAAACATAGCCCAAGTAGTCAGGCCTCTGCCACCCATGTGGGAGACCCAGTTAGAGTTCCTGGCTGCTGGCTTCAGCCTGGGCCAGACCTCACTATTGTGACCATTTGGGGAGTGAAAGATCTCCCTCCCCCTGTGTTATCTCTCTCTTGCCTTGTCTATTACATTAAAAAATAATGGGCACATCTTAAAACTAGAAGGGCTACAGTTGAGGACTGAGAAAATATTGGCAAGGTGAACAACAGCAAGGACTTTGGAGCCTGGAATAGCACTGGTGGCTGGGAATGCTAGCATCCGATGGCCTCAGAAACTCAGTTGGCAAAAGCCAAGTGTGTATGCGGGCATGTTCCCAAAACCTCACATTTGAACCTACATCTTAGAACCCTGCAATTAGCTTGGCTGGGAGGCCTCATGGTGGAGTAGGGAGGAGCTGAGCAGGACTTACAAGTGCAGACTTTTGTCCAACTGTCTTATGGATTCACCATGGAACTCCCAGCAAGTCATTTGGTCTCCTAGGTGCAGTTTTGTTGTTTATAGGAGGATGATAATGGACCATGTGTCCTCTACGGCTCTAGTATTATTTGGTGTCACATCTCCCCCATTGTCTTAGTGTGTTCACTAAGGTTCTTGAACACCTATTGTCAGGGAGAAGGTTCAATTCGAGCCTTGTACATGTGAAATGGCAACGGAGACTACTAGAGAAGCATCCTCTAGATTTACAAAGTTTAGAGTGATGATGAAGGACTAACACAAGTTTTTAAATGCTAGACCGTATCTTTGAATTCTCATGGAAGGGGACAGGGTGTAGCAAGAGAGGATCTGGAATTCATTTCTGGGACAAACATGGTGAAAATCTGGAAAATACGAGTGTTGGTGCTGTGATGTAATGAACTGGTTAAGCTGCTACCTGCAGTGATGGCATCCCTCTGGGGCACTGCATGAGTGCTAGCTACCCTGTTCCTGTCCAGCTCCCTGCTAAAGCACCTGAAAGAACAGAGGAGGATGATCCAAGTCCTTGCACTCCTGCATCCACACGAGAGACACGGAAGAAGCTGCTGCTACCTGGATTCTGACTCAGGCCTGGCTAGTGCAGCTATGTGGGGAAAGAACCAGCAGATGCAAGATTTATCTCTCCTTCCCTCCTCTGTAATTCTGCCTTTCAAATAGAATGTTTTTTTGTTTCTTTTAACCCTGGAAAAACAGAAATAAGCCTAGGAAAGTGGATGTGACAAAGAGCACCTCTACATGTTTAGTGTCTGTGCTGCTGAAGCGAGCACAGAACACCTGCACGTGTCCGAGGGAAACGGAGGCTCCAAGAAGATACAACAACGAGGAGAAATGCCATCACTGGAAGCAGAAGACTCTCTGCTGGAGTAGTTGGATATTGAGGGCCCGTGTTAGAATGCTCGCAGAGGTCTGAAGATGAGGTACTCTGTGATGCCTCCATCCTCAACTCTTCAAAAATTTGTCAACCCCCCTCCTTAGTCAGCGCTATCCATCCCCCTGCCCTTTCTCCTCACCCACTGTTGTCCATAGCTGTCTTCCATGTCGTTTAAGTACCGATCTTCCCACTCTAAACGGATGCCCAGTAGATCGAAAGGTTTAAATCCATTCTCAGCCAGGATCACAAAGTAGGTGAAAAATCCTGCCAGAGCCTGTATCATTCCTGTGGGTGACAGAATTGCAGGATATGGAAACCTAGTTCAGACAAGGGCCCCAAAGGCAGATCAGGGAGCAATGGGGGCTGGAAATTACTTATAGTTCTGTGTGTGTGTGTGTGTGTGTGTGTGTGTGTGTGTGTGTGTGTGTGTGAGAGAGAGAGAGAGAGAGAGAGAGAAGTTGATGACTGGCTGAAGATTTTTTGCCATCAACAGTCTATCCTCTTCTCTCTGTGAGACTCATGCATTTCCAAGCCCTGACAATTTCTTATAAATTCTGAGTCACCTTGAAATTATGTTGTCTTAAACCTAAAAAGGACTTGAGATTCTATGCCCTTTTCATATGGAGTGACAGCTGAACTCTTCCTTTTCCATTCCCTCTAACATCTGGACACTTAGCTAATCCTGTCCTGTTCTGTCTGCACCCCATGCCTGGACCACAGCAACCACTGATATTAGGTTTGTTTGTTAACTGCAAAGTTATGTACCAGGCAGGAACTTTGTGGACGTAGATATTCACAATAGTTCTGAACAATTATTTATATTTTAAACTGAAACACAAAAAAGATTCAGTCATTGCCCAAGGTCCTATGAGCAGTAAGTTAGTCAAATTAGGGTTCAAACATGAGTCCAACTCCTAAATCTGTACTTTTTTGTTGGTGTTTCCTCCCCTAGATATTAGGACGCTGTCCCTGTCCTCCTCCTCCCAGCCCAGCCTGCATCCTCATCCTTAGAGTTGCACTTGACCAACTCAAATGCAAAGACTTCTGCTGGCTTTCAAACTTTTTCCAGCGTGGCCTCCATGTAAACGATACCTCCGTCTATGGCCTTTTTGGCCACTACTCTTTAATCAACACTAAGGAAATCACAAGACTGGGGGCTTTGTTCTTCTCTTACCATGCCATGGGGATTTCTCCTCTCCACTGGTTCCTCACACCTGACCATTCTCTTAGTCTAGCCCTGTCCTCTGACACGAAAGTCCTGTGCTCACCATAAAGCGTCTCTTGACAGCTTCCTAATTGCCTTGTGCTCCAGGCATGATCAGTCTAAACTCATTATTGAGAACTTGGAAAGAGGCTGTTCTTTTATATATGTTGCTTGTTTTTATAATGGACTTTCTTAAGAGCAGAACAGAGATCATCAGATTCTTTGTGTTTCTAGTACCTAACAGTTTGCAGAGAAAGTGTCTCCCTGGCTTCCCAGCTGAGGTGGCTCCAAGGACCAGGCAGGGCCCTCCCCACAACACCCCTACTGCCGCCCCCTCACTCCTCTGGCCGCACCAATCTGTCCATAGGCCATGCCAATGAGGCGCTTGTTCACCAGGTTTTCAGTCTTTGGGTTCCGAGGAAGCCTCTTCATGATGTCACTTTCAGCTGATTCATAAGCCAAGGAGATAGCAGGGACCTGCAGAAGGGAGAGAGGCACGACAGAGCCACAAAACCCAGCAGGAAGCTCAGAAATGTCGCCCCCTCCCACAACACTGATTCTTCCTGGTTCCCCATCCATCCACCTCAGGGGTTCCGCAAGCCGGTAACCAGGCTGGTCCTCACCATGTCTGTGCCCAGGTCGATGCAGAGGATGGTCACGGTGCCCAGGGGCAGGGGGATGCCAAGGATGATGAACAGCAGGAAGGGGGTGATCTCGGGGATGTTGCTGGTCAGGGTGTAGGCGATGGATTTCTTCAGGTTGTCAAAGATCAGGCGGCCTAGCAGCAGGGAGTGGGGGTCAGGGAGTATGGAGCATGGCGAGAACACAGCTTCCAGAGCTCAACTCCTGGACAGAGGGACCACTATGGGAAGTGCCACAGTCCACCGAATGGTCTGGAAGTCCCAGCTTTCTTTCTAGATTGTGTGATTCTTAATTAGAGCGATAATTTCATAGCAGGCCACCTGTGTGCTCTTTGTTCTTGGATTCAACAAAGCTGATGTTATCTGGCCTAGTTACTCCTGAGATGTCTGAGAATACCTGCTTAAAAAACCTTAGGCTGACATGGAAAGAGCCTGGGCTTGCAATAGGTTTGGGTTCAAAACCTGTCTTCTACAATAACAACCCTATGACCTTGAGCTTGCCTTATTCCTTTGACTTTCACTCCTGCCTTGCAAAATTGCTGAGCCCTCCCCTGATTACACTTTAAGAGACTGTATTCCCTCCCTGCACTCCGGGCCTGCCTTGTTGCTATAGAACTTCTCTCCGCTGTGCTTCTCTACACTGTGCAATTTACGCATTCTACTGTCTCTCCCTCCCACTTGATAAGTTAGAAGAGAACAGGGATTTGTATCTTTTTTAAAAATTATTATTTTCTGTCTGGTGTTGTATCCCTAACATCCAGAACAGTGTCCAGGACATAGTGTGAGATGAAAAGAATTTGTTGCATTGGATGGATGCACTATACTGAGTGAATTGTGAGGAGGACCATACCGAGTTTCAATAAACCAGTAACTATCATTATTATGTGGGCTGTAACAATGTTTTAGTAGGATAACTCCAGGTGAAAGGCCGGGAGATTGGGATGCAGAATTCTATTCACTAATGGGCATGCTCCTCAGGATTCTTTTGGAAAGAGGCTGCCTAAGGGGGTGTATGTGCTCAGGTCAGAGGTTAGGTACCAGCTGACCTGGAGGTGTCATCATCATCAGGCAGCAGGTGCCTTGGGGGACTTCCTGAAGATTGTGGAGCGTACAGTCATCCCAGGGGTGAGGCTAGCTGGCTGCATTTTGGAACTTGCCATGAAACCCACTTGAATCCCAGTGGGAGGACTAAGATGCTATACTACATCGGCATCTGTCTCCCTAGCAAGTCTGGACATCCCCCTATCTCCTAAGAAAGCATACGCGTGGTGATGTTCTTAGTACCAGCTGAATCTAATTTGCACATTTTGTGTTGTGATGATTTTTGTCTGGAAGTTGGATATACAGGCAAAGGTATACTATGACACATGTGAGGTGATAGGAAAACATGTACCAACTTGTGCTTGTGGTGGGCGGTCACATCCCATCCCTGGGCCCCCTCCTTCCTCACCCTCCTCCACGCCCGTGACGATGGAGGCAAAGTTGTCGTCCAGCAGGATCATGTCAGCTGCCTGCTTTGAGACGTCTGAGCCAGTGATGCCCATGGCAATGCCGATATCTGCCTTCTTCAGCGCCGGGGAGTCATTCACCCCGTCACCCGTCACTGCCACGATGGCTCCCTGGGGAAGTCCAGACCAAGGGAGTGAAACACCCAGGACCAATTCCAAAAACCAGCTGGATCTCAGCATCACTTATTTCTTGGTACAACCCTGCTTGATAGTCGAAAGACTTTGGACCTTTCCCTAAAGCCTCAGGGAACCCCCAGACTGATGGCCATGGGGGGTTCAAGATGGGATACTCTCTAGGGACTCTTCTAACCTAGCCCATGTGTTCCCCTCTGGATTTGGAGCTGGGGCCTGGTCCCGCTGCCCTGTGGTCCCTTTGCCACCCTTACCAGCCTCTGACACCCCTCTACAATGATGAGCTTCTGCTGCGGGGAGGTCCGTGCAAACACGATCTCCGCGTGGTTTTGGAGGATGTGGTCAAGCTGCTCTGAGCTCATGTCCTTTAGTTCTGAGCCATGCACCACGATGGCTTTGACATCCCTGCAGGGAGAGAATTTCAGGAGTCTGGAGTCCTCTTACCAGCTTCTATTGCAAATCCAGCGTCCTCAGTCGCCCTCAGCCGTACATGCATTCACACGAACACATTCCATTTCTTCTCTCCTTCTTGCCAAACCCCTCCCTGACAGATCGAGCTGGTTATCTTCTTGGCATCCTTCATTTTGCCGTGTATAAACCCCTCATTTTCTACCTACTAAATGGTGATTCAAGAAGTTCAGTGAAGTGGGATTTAGGTAGGGCAGGCTGAGGATAGACGGAAAAGTGACAGAGCTGAGTTTTTTGGGGGTCTCACCTGGGATCCACTTGTTTGACAGGAATATTAAGCCGAGCAGCAACATCCTCTGCTGTTTCATGGCCTTCAGAAATGATGCCCACACCCTTGGCAATGGCCTTGGCTGTAATAGGATGATCACCTGTCACCATGATCACCTAAGTTGGCAAGGGGCGAGAAGGGAAGTAGTCGGGCCCCTGACACCTGTGCGGATGCCTCTCCATTCCAACTCATTAGATACTTGGCACTAGGTTTGTCCCATTCCCACACAGAGAGCAGGTGTCAACTTCTGTGCTTTCAAAATACATTTTTTAGGGCCTGGCGCAATAGCGTAGTGGTTAAAGTCCTTGCCTTGAATGCGCCAGGATCCCATATGGGAGCAGGTTCTAATCCCGGAGGCCCTGGTTCTAATCCCGGCAGCCCCGCTTCCCTTCCAGCTCCCTGCTTGTGGCATGGGAAAGCAGTTGAGGACGGCCCAAAGCTCTGGGACCCTGCACCCACGTGGGAGACCTGGAGGAGCTCCTGGTTCCAGATCGGCGAGTACCGGACATTGCGCTCACTTGGGGAGTGAATCATTGGATGAAAGATCTTTCTCTCTGTCTTTCCTCTTCTTTGTATATCCACTTTTCCAATAAAAATTCTTCAATATACATTTTTAAACTTCCTCTTTGATATTGTTTACGTAGTTTAGAGGGATGCACACCCATGTGAATTTCTGATTAGGGTATGGAGGGTCACATACGTAGGAAAGTAGGTGGGGTAAATGTGTGTGTGTGTGTGTTTTTTCTCCCGTGTCCACAGACGAGGAAGGGGAGAGAGGACTGCTCCTTGCTGTCAAACTACATCAACACCGGGAGTTGGGAGATGCTCCTTTGAGACTCTGGTGTGGGGAAGAGTGTTCCAAGAGTTGTTTTTATGTTTGATGTTCACTTGCTTGTCTCTTCCCCGCCGAACTAGAGAGCTCTGGGAGGGTGTGCTCATTGTCAAGTTTCCTGTCCTCACATCAAACCATCAGCAAATACATATCAAGTGGAGGAATGACCGTTTGCAGGAGCCACAGCCCCAGGTTCCGGAGTGCTCTCCAGGCACATCACTGCTCCAGCTCTGTTGGAAGGCGGAAGGAAACTGTGAGCAAATGATCCAGTTGCTTCCAGAGCAGAGGTCCTGGAGAGGTGCACCTGTGTGCTTAGCTGAAGGAAAGGAGATCAGCCTTGAAAAAGCTTCTGCCGGGGTATGAACTACGGGGCTTTCTGAACCCTCCTCAGGCGACACTGGCTCCCCTGACCTGGTAAAAGGAGACAGTAAATTGCTAACAAAACCTTGCCTAACAGAGACATTGTAAAATTGCACAGAGCTGTTACAACTACTGCTTTGGAGCTCTCTGGCTGCGATATGAGGCACTGGATCCTTTTAAGCCCAGCCTGGGAGTGCCTGGTAAATGGTGAGGATTCAGAGAGAACTGCCCAGAGGCTGCCGTCCACAGACAGTTCTGCCTGGGCTCTTAGCGATACAGTACAGGTTTCCAGGACAGCTTCTCAGTGACCCATGGATGGTGACATAGGACCTGTTAGGGCACGGTGTCATCTGCATTCATTCCAAGCACACTACCCACTCTGATCATTCAAAATGGACTCTTCTAGGTAACTTCCAGCAGTATCACCTCTATGCCAAACTAGACCAACAAAATTACAGAGCCGGTCACCCCAGGAGTGAGTTCCCAGGGCCCAGTTTCACCAAGCATTGAGATGCATCCATCCAATAGAACTGCAGTTATACAGACAATGCGCCCTCGGAGATAAAGGGCAGCTAGCAGTTTCTAGAATTCATCAAGCATCAGAAGAACTTCTCTTTCAGCTTCTTGGTGCTGACTCTACCTCTGACGCTCCCACACTGGCTTGCAAAGCTGCCCTCTTGTTCCCTTCTGCCCTCTTCCCCCAGACTGGACTCATCTGAAAGAAACTGTGCAGTTCCGATGAGGGAACTACAGGCTCTCCTGACAGCACTCAAAGCGGGACAGCAGTCCTTGGAGCCGGATGCAGAGCAGGAGCCACTACCTCGCTGCCACTGAGCTCCTCAGGGTCAAAGAGAATAGGATCGTTTAGACATCTTTTTTTTAAAATCACATTCGCTCCAAAGTACAGAGCACATAGATGCCTGGGAACTCCTGGTCCCTTGATGAATTCCTTAGCTGCCATAAAGTGATTCTGCAACTTCTTTTACTCAGCAGCCTTGTAATGCCTTGTGCCAGCACCACTTCAGAGCTAGCCCTGGAAAGGCCCACCCTACAGGACAAGCTCCCATGAGTCTGTTCTAGTTTGTGTTCTTGGAAGGATGGCACCATGTGTGTCTTCTACTACCTAGTGCTTCACCACGGGCATCAAGTGCCTGCAAGCTTGTGCCAGGAGCAGGGGCTGACCGGAAGACACGAAGGCCTCCAGGTGGCAACTCTTGGCCTGGGGCCCTCTGAAAGCCACCCCTCCCCAGGACCATCATGAGCTCTCTCTGCCTCAGGCTGTGGCACCTTCCAGCTTGGTAGGTGTCCTGATTAAAACTAACCTCTCTCATTCCTGTTGGGGGCCTCCCCCATTTATCCACATAGTTACTCTCTTCTCACTGAAGGTATTCATCAGCTCCCAGGTGCGATGTATGGAACCCCTTCCTCAGTGTTTATTCTCATCTACCTGCCTACCTCAGAGCTCAGAGCATTTCATGTGAACACCTTCTCTCCCAGTACAGCATGGATGTTTATGAGCTAGGCAGGAACAGGGCCACAGGCTGATGAGGAGTGACAGTGCTGTGTGGGTGAAGGGTTGGACCCCTGCAAGCATCTCAGATCAGTGTGACCGTGCAACTTACTTCATGCCCTGGTTCCCACTCGAGGGATGCATCCCTGGGCCTAGCCTTGCCAGGTGGATCCCCAAACAAACTGCCAATGCCACAAGTCTACTCTAAAGCTAGCTCTCACACAGTGCCTCCAGCCCCCCCAGAAACAGCTCCTCTAGCCTGACCTGTACTCCCTAATCTCAAGTCTAGGGGCTGGAAGGTGCAAGTGACCCAGAATATAAGGCAGGTAAGCAGGGCGAGTGTCAATATCTAATCAGTAGAGTCGAGAATCTGACTTGAGCAACTTGGGGCATAAAACATCTCAGGATTGGAATAATTTTCTTTCTGCCATTCCTTGACGTTCAAGGCTCACCTGTACCATAGAGGACCACTCTCCCACCTCTGAGTTTGTTCTGTAGCCGAGTTTCACTCTCAGACTAATTCATTTCAGTCTCTGGCTTTCATTCCTGGCAGAGAAACCTGCTATGGCAGCAGTTCAGTTTGAGTCAAACCCTGTGAGATCCCCCCAGTTCTCACCAGGGCCTGCTTCAGGACCCCAGTCCCATTCATCTCACCCTCTGACAGTCCCTCCCAGCAGCATGCTGATAAGACACCTGCTAGCGTTAGGTATGTCTAACATGATCTGCAGGTCAGCGGCAACAGCATCACCTGGGAGCTTGCAAAAGCCCAGACTCGCCAGGTGCCTTAGAAACCCTGACTGGGGATCTACACTTGTACATTAGTTTGAGTCTAGTATTTACATGTGATTTACATAATCATTCATTTGAAAGGCACTGCACTGAACACTGTTCTCAAACTTCTCTGTTCATTAAAGTCTTCAGAAAGTTTTATTTGCAAAAGAGAGAGAGAATCTTCCATCCACCGACTCACTTCCCAAGTGCCGACAGACAGACCTGGGTCAGCCCAAAGCCAGGAGCCAGGAACCAGGAAACCAGGAACACCATCTGAATCTCACGTGAATGGTAGGAACCCCAAGTACTTCTACCCCTGGACGTGTTGGCAACAAGTTGCCCCAGAAGCAGAAACAAGGCTCACACCAGGCCCACGGATATGGGATGTGGGTGGCCCACGCCATCCCTACAAGGATGCATTGCAATGCCCATACCTCCAGCAAAGTTTAAAAAAAATCCAGAGGCCCTGAGACATATTTAATAGGTTTCAGGTGTGGTCCAGATGGCAACTTTTCACTTTCCCTGGTGGTTCTAATGTTCAATGCAGGATAGAATTCTAACCATTGAACAAAGTTAATACTAGATGTCTAGCTCAAGGAGGTAGAAATCAATTCTACCAAATCAGTCAAACTGAGATTCTAAGCACCTACTCTTAAGACTGTTTACTGCTCCAACTTGTGACAGGTGGTAGCTTCTGGAATGGACAGGTGTTTACCTTAATCCCTGCACTGCGACACTTGCTCACAGCATCTGGCACGGCAGCTCGGGGAGGGTCGATCATGGATATGAGGCCCACAAAGCACAGGTTATCCATGGGAAAATTGATCTCATCCGTATTGAAAGGGAATCCCTTTGAGTATGTGCTGGGCAGATTCAAGAAGCAGAACCCTGGCGAGACAGAGGACCAGCAGTCATGCAGCTGTGCGTCTGGTCTGTTCTCTTCAATGCCCTGGACTTATCACCCCACCAGCCAGGATCACATTCTCCCCACGCTCCCTGCCCACAGCGCTCCTCACCTAGCACACGCTCCCCCAGGCTCCCCAATTCTAAGTAGGCATTCTGGAAGGCCTCCCTCATGTCATTGTCCATGGGGTACTCCTGTCCATTCAGAAGGAAAGTAGAGCAAAACTCCAAGATCCTCTCAGGGGCACCCTTCATCATCAGCACGTGGGTCTGGGAGCTGTCCTCCCGGAGGTGGATGGACACCTAGGCAGAAGAGACAAAGCCGGGATGGGTAAGGAAGAGAGAGCAAGTGCATAGGGGAGGGTTGTGAAGGCAGAGGCAGGCAAACCTCTGCATACAGCCATTTCCTTTGTCTTGCCCGAGGAAACCTGACTGCAGGTTGAGCCCAGCCTGGGCATTATTTGCAGCAGAATAAGTCTCTGCTATCGCCACAGTCTGATTGGGAGCTTGAAGGGTAGAACCAGGTGGTCCCACTTTCCTCCTGCTGCCTTGCTGGCTGGAGGGCTGTGTGGGAGCAGAAAGGGCAAGCTGGACCTGGCAGACAGCCGAGCAGTCAGGCCTGTGTCCCCAGCCAGCCCAAATATTTCAGCAGCTTTATGACCTAAGGCCTATCCCGTTAACCTTGCAGAAACTTTGTTGCTTTAATAAAGTGTCAAAGGTTCCGCCTTATCTGCTTCATTAGCTTTTTATGAGATAGCTAGAAAAAAGACCTTGAAAGTTGAAACAGAATGCGAAAATAAGTTAGTCAGTTCCAGGGACCTTAGACAGACAGAAGGCCCCAGGGAGGAACTGGCTGGTGTGATTGGGAGTGCGGATCAGCGTAGGTGTAGGCTGGGGAGGGGTATTCCTCAAGTGAGACCCCAACAACAGCGATAGAAATAAGACTGACCGAGGTTTGGAATATTTCTTTATCTCACTGTCCTCTGTGAAATTCCTCTCGGGATTGGTAGGAGATGCAGGCCAGGAACCAAATTCCCCGGAGAGGACCTGTGAGAGCGCTGAGGAGGCCGGATGGCTCTGTCCGAGTGGCCGAGTGAGAGTCCAGTGCATTGGGTGTGGATGTAAGTGTTCCACCAGAAACTGTCCAGTTACGTCCAAAATCGGCCTAAGCAGCTAAGAGGCTAACCTGAGTTCCTTTACGAGGAAAGCTGTAAAAAGGTTGGAAGGCTCCTTTTTCTGACTGCTCAATAAATACTTACTTAATGAGTGGAAGGCCTGGAAGGGGTGGCAAGACCCGCTGTAGCTGGGGACTGGGTTCCAGAAAAATCACATCTTGGTGGGAAATTACGTCAATTACACATCTGCAAATACCAGAATGAAGACTTTCCTTTGCTCCATTTTGATTTCAGAGAGGCAATGAGTTTGAGTGTGGCAAATAAGCAGCAGCTAAATAGCACCTTGCCAAACCTGGACTTGCTACCCAAGAGCAAGCCAGGGAGGGTGACAGCTGATTGACTACCTGTTGCCTGGAGCAAAGGCCTGCCAGGGTGGGGGTCGGGAGGGTGGCAGCGGGCTGACTGCTCACGCTTGGTGTGCCGCAGAGGACAACTCTGCCATTTGTGAACTTGATTTTAGATAGCTCAGAACAAGCACGGACATAGTCATTTGGAGGGGAATGTCGCTATTTGTTGGCCATCTCAGCAAATGCTGTGAATACATCTTGCTTTTCTTTCGAACCATGTGGAAGCAGAGGTGCCTAACTCTTTCCAAAGGTTTACTCAAGCCCTGCCAAGCCACAAAATTCCTGTCTGGTTAGGGAGGCCACTAAATGTCAGAAAAAAATGGAAATAAATGTACAGTTTAGGCCTTAGAGGCTTATTTTATTACACAGGCTAAAAACCAGTCGAGACAGAAAAAGTAGGAGCCTATTTAACTCTTACTCAGTGTTTTATATGAAAATACAGATTGCTGGCTTTTCAAGGCGTGCATATAGCTTGTGATTTTTCCTAAGGGCTCTTCAGACAGAAGAGCAAGACTGGCCTGTGAGCCTCGTGTTGCCTTGGCTGCCTGCACTGTGGTGCATGGTGCTGGGGTTTCTGCTCCTTGAGTAAGTCACCCTCACCCAGCAGAGCTCAGAGCGTCCCCCGCGTCGGGCTCCAGCCACACAATGCTGCTGCTCTTGCTTTCCAGTGTCCACTCAACGTCTGCCAGGACCCCGGCTTGGGCAAGAAGTGCTGCCCGTCCTGCCCTTCCATGAGTGTCCCTCACCCAGCATTTCCCCCGTCTCATCTACTCCTCTGTAGGTAGTGGGCCAAAACGCTCCTGGTAAAAGAAACACTTGGCCGACACGGAGGAGAGCCTCATGGCTGTCTCCCAACTGGGAGTACAGGCATGGAGTGAGAGGAAACTTTTTATGGCAAATGAAACAAGATGTCTTGCATCTTGCTTACTTCATGGAGGCAAATCCCATAGCAGACACCGTGGTACCTCCCAACAGCTCACATCACTCTTCCCAGACGGGCACTGGCCAGCCTCGGACAGCCCTGTGTGAACTGCTCTCTCCACAAGTGCGCAGGCTCCATGCTCCGCTCAGGACTCCGTGCCTGTTCCGCTTCACCTGCTGCCTCACTTTCTTACGCTCAATCCTGGTTCTACTGTGCTGTTTTACTGCTTAAAGGTGAAGTTGGAGCCAAAGGCAAAGCTCAGTGATGCCCTCCCACCCTCCGTTTCCCCGTCTTTGGGGGTTCCGTACCTGGTACTTATTGGTAGAATTAAAGGGTATCTCTGCCACCTTGGGACTTTTCTCTCTCATCTCCTTCACAGAGCTGTGCGTTTGCTCGATGAACTTGAGGAGGGCCGACTCTGAAGCATCACCTGTTGTAGATCGCTGCCAAGGTGGAGGGTTTGTACTAAGTTCCCAGGGCACACCACCTGGGCCTGGAGCTGTGTCAGTAAGGAAGATGCAGGATGGGCGAAGGAGGCCCCTGGGGGAAGTCAGTGAGGACCAGGGAAGAAAATCTTGTGGGACGAGAAAGGGTAACACCCTGAACCCTGAGACACCCTTGCCTCCCACCCCCCTCCAGGCCTGACACCTTAGCTATAGGTATGTCCTCTTGATCGGCTTTAAAATCAGCTCGGTTGCACAGGCCAGCGATTCGGGCCAGGATAAACCAGCTATCAGAGCCCTTGGCAAACGTTTTCCCTAGGGAGAAAGAAGGGAAGAACTGTGAACAGTGGGCCATGAAAGTTCAAAGCCGAGGGTTCTCCACATCCCGTTTGGACCCAAATATTGTGTGGAGGTGACATTTCCTTTCCTCTATACCTCCCCTCTGTCCACTCCATTTTCCTGTTCTCTTCTCTTTGTGGGGATTCGCCATTCTCTCAGCTCAGTCATCCTTCCATTCTTGGCCCAATACCAACACCGATACCAATATCAATACCACTAGTCACCAATCTGGTCTTCGCTGGTGTCTGCTGCATACACGGTCCTATCGAACCACAAGTGGGCGACGGTCATGCGGTTCTGGGTGAGGGTGCCCGTCTTGTCGGAGCAGATGGTGGACGTGGAGCCCAGCGTCTCCACGGCCTCCAGGTTCTTCACCAGGCAGTTCTTGCGTGCCATGCGCTTGGCGGTCAGGGTCAGACACACCTAAAGCCATGAAGAAGGTAAAGAAATAAAGGGTGCAGCTCTACTCAGACCACCATACCTCTTGGAAATGTGATTTTTATGGCCATTTACTATCTTATTATTATGTTGTTGATTGTTTCCCTTTTGTTGACACCTATGCTTTAGAAATCCCACCTGTGGTATCGAAATAAGGAGTGTGATTCCATTTGTGCTTTACAGCAGGAGTTTCAGAAAACGAATGTATCCCCTTCCTGGAATGTCAGGGATCCTCTGGATCTACCTGGAATACTCCTGTCCCCCCCCCCCCCGGGATTCTTTTCTGCTCAGCAGCCTCTTCCCAATGAAGTTCAGACTAGGTCTAGAGTCCAGTGTTTCTGGAAACCATATATACTGTTCATTTTTGAATACGGTATCCAATGCTATCCAATGCTAACAGTACAGGAAGGATTCCACCAAGTGTTTTAAAAAATTGAGAGAATGATGACACGAATAAGGAATGTCAAGGCATTGGAAAGGACTCAAGAAATCATCAAAATCAAACTGTTTTTGTTGATAATAAATTCAATGTAAGGGGCAAAGTTGCTTTAAAAACTGCTAAGTACAGGGCCTGGCGTGGTGGCTTAGTGACTAAAGTCCTCGCCTTGCACACACCCACAATCCCATGTGGGTGCCGGTTCTAATCCCAGCGGTCCCACTTCCCATTCAGCTCCCTGCTTAGGGCCTGGGAAAGCAGTTGAGGATGACCCAAAACCTTGGGACCACACCCACGTGGGAGACCGGAAGAGGCCCCAGGCTCCTGGCTTCGGATCAGCACAATTCCAGCCATTGTGGTCACTCAGGGAGTGAATCATCGGATGAAATATCTTCCTCTCTGTCTTTCCTCCTCTCTGTATATCTGACTTTGCAATAAGAAAAATAATAAAAAAAATTTTAAAAACTAGTAAGTACAGAACTCTAATCATGGAGTTATAGTTATTTATAAAATATCATGAATCTCAATGTTTTTATATTAGTCCCAAACCACCTTGAGTAATATTCTCATTTCTATTCTTTTTTTATATAAAATGTTTTATTTTATTTATTTGAAAGACAGAGTTACAGAGAGAGAGAAAGACCTTCTATTCACTGGTTCACTCCCCAAATAGTTGCAATGGCCCAGGCTGTGCCAATCTGCAGCCAGAAGCCTGGAGCTTCTTCCGGATCTCCCACGTAGATGCAGGAGCCCCAAGCAGTTGGGCCATCTTCTGCTGCCTTCCCAGGTACATTAACAGGGAGCTCAATCAGAAGTGGAACAGCCAAAAAACTTCAACTGGTGCTCATATTGGATGCTGGTGCTGGAGGTAGTGGCTTAACAGCTATGCCATGATACAAACTCCTTCTGTCCATTCTAAGAATATTAGCAAACCAGAGCATGCCTGGAAGAAGTCATTAGCAAGACAAGGAAACGGAAGGCCATGTCATAGATGTGCTCAGGGAAATGGGATCACTTCAACCCTCCCCCTTTAGGGCAGAACTTGAGGACACACACAAACCACTGGCAAAATGGAAAGGTCTGGTCTGTCGAGGAGAGGCAACTGATTAATTTTATGTTTCTTTGGCAGGGAAAGCTAGGACCAGAGAGTCATATTTCTGTTCAACACAATGAAATTAAACTGGAGTGGGACCGGTCTTGTGGCATCCCATATCTTAGTCCTGGTTCAGGTACTAGCTGTTCTGCTTCCAACCCAGCTTGCTGCGCATGCACATGGGAACAAACAAAAGATGCCCCGAGTACTTGGGCACCTCCAACCTGTGTGGGAGTCCCGGATGAAGTTCCAAACTCCTAACTTCAGACTGACCTTGACCTGAGTATTATTGCATTTGGGAAAGGAACTAGCAGATGCAAAATCTTTCTCTTTCTGTCTGCCCTTCAAATAAATAAATCTTAAAAAAGAGAAAAAATTTAACTAGGCAACCAAGTGATGAAATGAGCCAGTACTAAAAGGGGTGTGCTTCCATGACAAGAAATTAGTCATTTTCCATTGATTTTATAGAAGATATTCATCAATAGGATTGTGCAATTCTATATTAATCTTTATTAATGGATGAATAAATTGAGGCGTGGAGATAACTGATTTGACCAGGATCACCAGGGCCTGAACGCTCAGGGCCTGAACTCAGTCCTGATGACTTATATTTTCTTTTTACTAATTTTATTTTTTTATCAAGATTTATTTTATTTATTTGAAAGGCAGAGTTACAGAGCAGGAGACACACAGAGAATTCTTCCGTTTGCTTGTTCAACCTTCAAATGACTACAAAGTATCTGAGGCTGGGCTAGACTGAAGCCAGAAGCCAGGAGTTTCTTCAGCATCTCCTACATGAGTGGCAGGGGTCCAAGCATTTGAACCATCTTTCATTGCTTTCCCAGGTGTGTTAACATGGAGCTGGATCTGAAGTGGAGCAGCCAGGACTCGAACTGCTGCCCATAGGGATGTTGGTGTTGCAGGTAGTGGCTTAACCCTCTACAGCTCTGACCCTGTCTTTGGGATTTATAATACAATGTTTTCTCCCCTGGAAGTAGAGATCTGTCTTACTGATGATAAAGAAAAGGCAGCAGAAACTGTGGGTGGAGGGAAGCCAAGTTATTTCTGACTCCTATCTACATGTCAGAAATACTCTGTCCTTTGAGACAATCCGCAACAGAAGAAAATGAGTGACTTCATTTCCTTAGGGTGACTAGGTTACCCTGGGGCCACCCTCCACCCTTTCTACTCACAGTGACAGTGGCCAGTAGTCCCTCAGGTACATTGGCCACAATGATGCCAATAAGGAAAATGACAGCCTCCAGCCAGCTGTAGCCCAAGATGAGCGAGAGCCCGAAAAAAGTGACACCAAGGAAGACGGCCACCATCGTGATCAGATGGATGAAGTGTTCAATCTCAGCTGCAATGGGGGTCTGGCCAACTGCCAGCCCTGATGTCAGGGAGGCAATTCTGCCCATCACGGTGGAGTCTCCTGTAGCAATCACGATGCCCCGGGCTGTCCCTGGGGAACAAGGGCAAGAAGGCGGATGTGATACAGTACAAAATGCGTATACTGGTCTCTGGACTCAGTTCCTGACACAGCTCCTAAGACCTTTGTGAGTTCCTGAGTGAATGGAATGTCTGACACAGGACTCCAAAATCCTTGGAATTTCCTGTGTGATAGCAAGATCTTAGGTCTAACAGGTGACTCTGGGTGGATGCCTGGATTGCTGCATGATTTGGGCTGGTTGCCATGGTAACCATCCACATGATTAGGGGGTTGGAGGTAGGTTGAGTAGATTGCCAAAGAGTCAGTCATGTAAACTATGCTTACATAGTGAACCTTCCATAAAGATCCAAAAGGACTGTGTTGGCCCAAAAGCCTCAGCATTGTTGACCATATAGGTCAGAAGCTTTGTGCCCCTGCTCACCTACTTTGCCCTTTGCCGATCTCTTTCTGGCTCTTCATCTGTGCCCTTTGAAATAAATAGATCCTGAGTTCTTTGAACTGTCTTAGCAAAGTAATCAAACAAAAGAGGGGGTGTCATGAGAACCCAGGTTTACAGCTGTTTTGTCAGCAGCATAGGTGACAACCTATTGCTTGTAATTGGCGCCTGAGTGGAGGTGATCTTCTGGACCTGAGTCCCCAGCTTGTGGCCTCTGGCACCGTCTCCAGGTAGAAGATGTGCGAGCCAAATTCTGGGACAATCAGTTGCTGTCCTGGAGAAGTGGTTGTCGGTAGGGAGAAATCCCTACACATTTTGGACACAGAACTATTCTGCGTTTAATGAAAACTAGGTTTTCTGATTTGTTGTTGCACATGGTCACTCAGAATATGCCAAGCCTGAATTAAAAAGACTCTTGGACTTGGTTTCCATAAAGAAAATGCTCGCAATGATCATAGACAGGTTGCAAATGCAAGGCCCTATGAGAGGCCGTGATGTCTCATTCTCTTCATATTTAATTTATACTCATAATGGTTTGAGATTTTTATCTCTCCATCTCTCTGTAGATCCGCCTTTCCAATACAAAAAATGAATAAATTTTTTTAAAAGATCTCTGGGTCCAAAAGCTCTGAAGTCTCATAGTTCTCTCCAGAGAGTCCCAATTTTATTGCCTAATTATCTTCACTGTCAAGGTCATTGTTGCTCTCCATCTAAATATCTTCCAGTACCTGTGTGTTTCTTGTTTTACTCTCAACAGATGAATCATTTCCAGATTCCCAGGAATAGTTGCAGAGTTGTGTCCAACAACCTCTTAGCCTGGAACCCAGTGGTTTTCGACTGCAGACAGTCTCCTCCTCCTTGGGGAGTTTGGCAATGCCTAGTAGGTTGGGAATGGGGGCTGTACTGGCAGCTAGTGCTAAATGTCCCGAAGCTCTCTTCTCCCCTAACGCCAACAAAGAATGATCCTGCCCCTAATGTCTCAAGAAATCCTGATCCATCCTGGCCCCTCCCTGCTTTACCAGCTGGAGTTGGTCTGACCTCTGCTGGGTAGCAGGGGCCATGACAGCTTGGCTTCCCTGCTTCCAAATCTTTGTCATCAACTCTAGTCTGAGTCAGGAGGACACATTGCGTTTGATTTTATACATATGTGACGCAAGTCACTTACCCACATGGCTTGAAATGAGGGGCATGGCAGGGTTCTTAATATCATTCTTCCTGCTTTATCATAACGACTGACACGCCTACCATCAAAGTCACAGTCAGTAGTACTCAGAAAAGAAACATAGTATAGCAACAGCACTTACTTCAGAAGCTGAAAGACTCCATGCAGGAAGTTCAACTTCCCCAATTACTAACTCTTTTCCCTGGGCTTGTTACATAACTTCTCTGAGACTGGGTTTCCTCATGTTTAAAACAGGGTGCAAATTCCTACAAATTGTGAGAATTAAATGCTTTTAAGAGAGGCCACAACAGGATTGGGCACATACTAGTTTCTTGATTCTTGATTTCCCCATCCCCATTCATTCAGATGGTTTTAGGGTCTTGGGATGGACTAACAGAAAATACTGCATGTGAAATAGTAGTGGTGTCTCTCACTTAGCAGCTTGCAAAATTCTGGTAGCATAGAGCAGTTGGCAGTCCCGATTTCTAGGATCACCGTCAGCTCTATGGCCTGATAGTAGGGTTCTTCTCATACGGCACATGGGTTAAGCAAATGCTCATCCTGGGGAGGAATGTTATGAAGTACTCTACAGATGAGCATAAAACTGGTTGACTGAAGTATTCATTGAGTGTTGTGGAAAGAAGGTACTGAAATACAAGAGAATTATTGAAATGGTTTCTTATTTTGGAGATGAAGGGTGGAGGGTGGAGGATGGTATCTTCTATACTTATTTTGTGTTTCAGTGTAGTCCAATTGTTTGTTATGCTTTCCCTGTGCTTGGGGAGATAAGATTTAATAACTCATCCCAATGGGTCTAGAGATTGAGTCGGTTGACATCAAACTTGGGAAAGGTGGAAATAGCCAAATATCCCATTCTTCAAGCAGGCTGGCTCCCTCATTTACCTCTGTATCTCATCAGAGAATGAGGTCAGGCACACTGCAAGATGCCCAAGACATCACTGCTGCATCAAAGTAATGGGGTCCCATCGATGGGACTGGTATCTTTGAAGGAAGCGGAGGTGCAAAGGCCCTTCTCTCTATTCTGTGTTAGGACAAGGAACAAGGCAGTTGTCCACAAGGCAGGAAATGACCTCACATCTAGAACTCAATCACCAACATCTTAACCTTGGATTTCCCAACCTCCAGAATGGTGACAAATCAATTCCTCTAAAAAAAATAAAAACAAAATAAATCCAAAGTGATGAGGGCTGAGGGGCAAAGATGAACATTAAAATTCAACTACTACTTGCAAACTGATCTCCAGTAAAGTCTAATGGTCAGTTTGGTTATAGATAAGTGCTACAGGGATTCCTCCGTGCTAAGTCAAAAGCTTCCTCACTCTAGCTCCACTCTCTTGGCCACATCTCAGGTTTACCAGTCTTTTCTTGCATGGCTTTCTACCCGAACAGACCGTGGTTTTTTCCAAGTAGACAGCACACCAGCTTTTCCCCATTCCTCTTCCCTGACGTCTATGCTTGGCTAATGAGAAACCTACTTTGGAAGGGCAAATCTGTACAAATGTCTTTCCCACATCTCTGGACTCTAGTGGTTTTGAGGAAAGCTTGCTAACTTGTGGTTTTCTGTCTCTTCATTTTTTCAGCAATTTAATTTCACTACATTGTATTTTTTGGTGGAGCCTTCCACAGTCTGTATTTCATCTTTATATCACTCATTCTGGAAGGGACTTCTAAGTTAACTTGTTTGGTTTCGGGTGAGAACACTGGCCATTGTTGAGTGCAGAGCACAGTCTGTGGACAGGGAATGAACGGGATTTGCAGACAGGCTCCACTGGATTACTTGATCCTCTTCTTTACTGTTGGGCTGTGTTGTTGGATCTGGTGCTTCATTTCTTTGGATCTTAGTCTTTGGTGCGTTAAATGGGAATAATATCTGCTGTATCACCTTGAGGCAATCAGAAACGGTATCCAGAGCACTTGACTCATGCTCTCAGGGCAAAGAAAGGTTAATACAAATAATGTTGAGTCTCTTTGTTGCCACTTTGGCCAGTAGCAGCTCCCAGATTGCAGATGTCCTAGATTTTAGGAGCAAAGCCAAAATCTGAGTGGCAGGGTCTGGATAGCATCCATGGCAACTCCCATTTCCAATGCCAACCAATATCTAGCCTCCTCGTAGGGAGGTGAATGGCAAACAGACATTAGGTCTTCACTTACGAAAAGAATGACCTCAAAAAAAAAAAAAGATTTTGTTCCTTCAGTGCCATTTTCAGCACACAGAACAGTCTATTCTCTGGCTAGAGGGCTACCTAATAATTATGGGGCACTTAGAGTGCATTAGGGCTTGTGCTAAGTGTTTTAAACCGCTTAACTCATTTAATCTACTAAAAAATCTATGGGGCAGTAACTTTGAGTATTATTGTTGTGTGCCTTTGACTTTTCACTGAAGATCATGTAACTTGTGAGTGATGGAGAACTGGACTGCTTCCTGGCTCTGACCTGCCCCATATCCTTAGACGCTGGAGAGCTCTTCAAGTCTTTCTGTTGTGGTTTGTGCTTTTGAGTCTGTGCTACCCGGGATACGATATTCACCTTCTACACAGTTGGTGGAGAAGAAGCAGATGTTGCGGGTCTCCAGAGGGTTCTCATGGGTGAAGTCAGGGGAGCGGGACTGGGGCTCAGATTCCCCGGTCAAGGACGAGTTGTCCACCTGGCATGGGAGGGAGGATGGGTCATCAGGACGAAGGTCCTGAGCACAGGACAAAAGGCAAATTCATTTGTAAAGACAACCTGCCTTTATCAGTCACTAACAACACTGGCACTGATACCAAAGTGAATTTGCCCACTAGCATCTCATGGTCTCCAATGTGAATTCACACTTGTAACATCTCTAGGTTCAGAGTGATAAAATCTCACTTTCCCTGAGCCCAGGTCCCCACTGTCTCAAAGGGCCTGGGTAACCCCCTCCCATGGCTCTCCACACCCCTCACCTTGCATCCTTGGGCAGAGATAAGTCGCAGATCAGCAGGTATTCGGTCTCCCCCTTTCACTTCCACAAGATCTCCCAATACCACATCTTCGACATGAATTTGCATCTTCTCTCCACCTCGAATGACCATAGCTTTCTAAAGGAAGACAGTACAGGGTGGTCTTCAGTTTGTCACTGGAGCCGGCGTTGTGGTGTAGTGGGTAAAGCCACTGCCTGTAACTCTAGCATCCCATATGGGAGCCGGTTCGTGTCCCAGCTGCTCCACTTCCCATCCAGCTCCCTGCCTGTGGCTTGGGAAAACAGTTGAAGATGGTCCAAAGTCTTGGGACCCTGTACCCATGTGGGAGACCTGGAAGAAGCTCCTGGTTTCGGATCAGCTCAGCTCCGGCTGTTGTAGCCAGTAAGGGAGTGAACCCGAGGATGGAAGATCTTTGTCTCCTTCTGTCTGTAAATCTGACTTTCCAATAAAAATAAATAAATAAATCTTAAAAAGATTAAGTTTACATATATATGTAAAAAGTAGATAGCCCAAGTATTTGGGCCCCAACACCCACATGGGAGACCTGGATGAAGCTTCTGGCCCAGTCCTGGCTGTTGCCGTCAACTAGGGAGTGAACTCAGGGGCTGAAGGTCTCTGATGTGTGCACATGCTGTATCTGTAATTCTGCCTTCCAAATAAAGAAAAACCTTACAGAAAAAGGAAGTTATCCTCTTCCTTTGTCCTGCCTCTAGCCTACAAATATTCCTGGTCTCCTTCTTGCTGACTCCTTTCTTACTGTGCCACCAGTCACAATGTTCTTGAAGGCGTCTCTAGTAGATTGCAAATTCCTGTCATTGCTCTCTGGGGAGCTTTTGGCAAAGTGACCCACTGCTCTTCCCACTATAAGATGGCACGTAATTTTCACCCTTAAACCTAGGTTTGGCCCACAGCACGTTGGCAAGTAGGAGTCAAGCAGCAAAGGCTGAAAATGTGTATCATACTGGAATTTGTTCTATTGGATTAGGTCCTCAGCCAGCCTGTGCCTAAGCACAAGCTAGACTCCCAGCAGGTCGAGGATTATGAGGAGAAAGGCCCCAGCTGTCCCAGTCACCCCAGCTGAGGGCTCATACAAGTGAATGAGGTCATCTTAGACCATCCAGGATTAGCTGAGGTCAGCCAGACCGGTACAGAGCATCTATGATATGCTGAGACATAACAGGCTTGTGTGGCGAAACTAAGTCATGTTGATGCCAAAGGGAAAGGAAGATTTTGAGCTACAGTGTTAGAGCAGGATCCATTTGTGGGAAAATTTTGGAGTGCATTCCTTTACAACTTTCAGCCCCATGCCTAGGACTCTGTTTATGTCATGCTATTTCCAGATAACTTGAAAAAACATTTTGTTTGAAAATAATTTAGCATGTTCAGAAAAGGTTGCAGGAAGAAAAATATCAATGTAGTCTTTATCCACATTCATCTATTTATATTTTTGCAAGTTTTTATTGTCCTTTATTTCACGTGTGTGTGTGTGCGTGCGATTTTTCCCCTTAATTGTATTTTGGCAAGTTACATGCATCGTGATCTTTTATCCTAAATACTTCTGCATGCATTGCCCAAGAACTGGGATATTCTCTTTTATAGCTGCAGTACAGTTATTGATTTTAGTTAAATTTTATGGTGATATTTTACTCCATTGCCTGTATTTCAGTTTCATCAACTGACCAAAAATATCCTTTAAAGCATTAGTTTCTTCTCTAGTGGAGGATTAGGTTGGGACTAAGCATTGCATCCACTTGTTGTGCCTTTTTAGCTGGTCGGAAGCATTTCCAGAGCTGCTGTCTTTAATGGCACTGACATTAGCAATCCAGGCTCCCGACCAGTCCCTGCTTTTTCTTTTTGTTCTATTTGAGGTGTTTATGCTGCTTCTGCATTAGATTCAGTGCTTCATAGCCTGAACTGCTTCATAGAGGCTGCTGCGTCTTTCTCAGGATTTCACAGCTTTCCAGCTGCTCTGGAAGCCTGATACAGTATCCTGGCCCCCACATCACCAGCCTTCTTAGCTCACTTGTCACAGGATGCGATTCTCCAAAGAGCTTTTAATAACCATGTACTTCTGTAACTCCTCTCATTAGAGCTTCACTCAGCAGTCCTACCTGTGGCACCATGTTCTTAAAAGACTCCATGATCTTGGAACTCTTGGCTTCCTGATAATAGGAGAAGCAGCCAGTGATGAAGACCACAATGGCTAGCACAATGCCCAGGTACAGCTGCAGGTGAGAAAGAAATGGTTTGTCAGTGTGTACGTCTCCTCTGCTACAGCAGAATAAGTCATTTCTCCCAGTGAGAGAAAACAATGGACTGAGTTGCAGATCAGAGGGGCTGCAGAGAACGGGGAATGGTGAGGGTACTGGTGAAGGGAGAGGAGATGAAGACCCTAAATTCCAGGGCAACTGCAGCGGTTACAGCTGTGGTGCAGCAGGTTAAGCCTTTGTTTACAACACGGCATCCTATTTCACCACCAGTTCAAGTGCCACTTGCTCTGCTTCTGATTCATCTCCTTGCTAATGCACCTGGGAAAGCAACAGAAGATGGACCAAGTGTTGGGGCTCCTGCCTCTTATGCAGGAGACTGCAATAGCTGCTGGCTTCAGATTGTTATAAATCTGATCATTGCAGACATTTGGGTAGTGGGGTAGAAGATTTTGATTTCTACCCTTTTCTCTAAACTCTAGCTTTCAAATAAATAAAGTAAAACTCTGTGTGTGTGTGTGTGTGTGTGTGTGTGTGTGTGTGTGTGTGTAAAGCCTCCCTAGAAAGTGCTGGGAGTGTGGGGGATTTGGGTGGGAGGACTCCAGAGTGCCCGGCTGCTAAGCCAGAGGGAGATCAGGGGCGAGTATTGACCGAGCAGACTCACATTGTCTTTGCTAGACTCCTCCTTGAAGTACACCTGAATGCCATAGGCCACGAAGCAGAGAATGGAACCGGTCCACAGCAGGAGGGAGAAGCCACCAAAGAGCTGTTTACAGAACTTGACCCATTTTGGAGTTGAGGGGGGTGGAGTCAGCATATTGGGTCCATTTTGTATCAGAAGTTCTCTTGCCCGTTCAGGAGTATGTCCCTGCATGGAGAAGGAAAAGCAGGGCTAGAATGCTGGGAAGAGAGAAGCAGCTGCTGTGAAGGGGATGACGAGGTTCTCTGGGGGCCAGTCCAGAAGTTCTTCTTGGATAAGGTAGGGTTCAGAAATTCTCAGTCTTGAAGGGCTATCATTTACCAAGCTTGCATAAGAAGGGCTTTGGTTTATGGAATGATTCACAAGCCTTTAGAACATGAACCCCTGTTCCAGAGCCTTTTACTATACTAGCTGCTGAGTATAACAATAGAACCAAGAAGGGTCCCTACTCTTAAGGAGCTCGTTGAGAAATGCATGCAGATAATTATAGGATAATGTGCAGTGTAACAATGAGTTAGAATATGTGATGTTGATAGCATACACCCACACTCTGTACCTTAGGAAGAGGCAAAAACACCACCTGAAGATACATCCGCCTAGATTCTCACTCTAACCTTGTGCATAAGCTTACTTGCGTGTTCCTTCAAATAGTAATAGAAGCTATGAGTCCCCACCAATCACTCCAAAACTCCCTCTGAAAACCTGGGTGCAAAGGGTGAGGAGCCCAAAGGATGGGGCATTTATAAGGCCAATCTTCCTAACGATACCAAATCACTGTGTTTGTTACATACTCATCCTCCTAAGGGTGTGCAGTGGGATTTCCCAAAGGCTCGGCGATGTAGGATTTCACAACAGGTGCAGCACACCAGAGAGATGCGAAGCCACCAGCTTTCTATAGCAAAGAGCTTTACAAAGATAGTAGGTCTCTTAGAACATAGAATTATCCATCAAATATGATAATATATGCTGGGCTTACTCTTGCTGTTTTTCAATACATTAAATACTTAAAAAAAACTTCTTTTTAAAATATAGACAGATGTGAAGATAGATCATTGCTTATGTGGGATACTTCTTAGTGTCTTTGAAAAATTATTGGCATGTCCAGGCCTCCTGGGCACAGAAAATTGGGAAACACTGCTCTTAGGGTCCTTAATTCCATCACTGTATTTTTTTTTTAAGTGCTGTGGGGGCTTAACCAGGTGGAGGGTAAGAGTTCAGAACATTGAGCTTGAACTTGGAAGCCTGATTTCTGGTTCTGCTTTTGGGTACCCCCACAGTTGGCGTGGGTACCACCCGCCTCCCCCAGGGAGTTTCTGACTCACCTTTGTCAGGTCCACGGAATACTTGGCACTCAGTTGTTCCAGGGTTAATTTGTGATCATCCTGAGAGGACAGAAGTATTATTGAAGGAGATACCATGAGCTGGGTCATTCCCACGGAGTGGGGGTGGGAGATGATGGAACACTTTGGGGGAAAAGAGCCAGCTCTGGCTTGTGGAGAGTGGGAGTGTGAACTCTTGAGAAAAGGGTCAAAGGGATCAAGGTTGGACGATGTATTTAGAGGTCAGTCTGTGTTGGATGTTCTCACCAGAACCACTTCCTTCTTCAGTTCCTCTAAGTCTTTCCTCCTTTTTTTCCTCTTCACTTGCTTTTTCTGAGTAGGTTTTAGCCTCCTTTTAGGTCTTGGGCTTGGACTCCGTTCATGAGGAGTCACAGTTCCTTTCTTCCCTCCAAGTCCCATAGTTATCTCTAGATACAGCTGACCCGGCTCAACCGATAGAAAGAAAGCGAAGAGAGTGAGGGGAGAGAGAAAGAGGTGAGGGTGAGAGGGCAATGAGAGATGAGCAGTGTGGAGAGAAGGAAAGGGACAGCTGGAGGTGGTGAGTGAGGGGGCTTATTAAGGGGAAGAGGCATGAGGAAGCAGAGGACTGTGGGAAAGGCAGGAGGAAGTGTCAGGAGTGTAAGGTGGGAAATTAAGGAGAAAGCCGAAAGAATGAAGAGGAACAGTGAAGTGAATGAAGAAGGGGGGCCTTGGGGAACGGGGTGAGAAGGTGCCCAGGCAGTGAGGATGCCACGCAGTGCTCAGCAGGTAGGAAACTCAGTGGGAACAGGGAGGCCACCACGAGTCCCCACCCCAGGCCTCGTGGATACCACAGCAATGGCCCTGGTCTGACATCACAAAAGCCTCTGGAAAATTCCATCTGAGAACCCGGCAGTCTCAGTCTTGGCATCTGCAGGTGCCTGGGGCAGGTTCTGTTGCAGAATAAATGCCTAAGAGTGGAACTAGAATGATGCTTTGTATGGTTCCTTTGATGCCAAGAAGGCTCCCTGGTGGCTGACTCAAAACCTAAAACAGGTACTCTGTGTGTGTGTGTGTGTGTGCTTTTCAGAGAGGCACACTTCTTGGGCAGTATTGAGTTTCATCTTATAATTTTAGGAGATCAAGCAGCTGAATAGATAAGATACTGGCCTTCAGGGGAAAAGCCCAGTCTCTTCAACAAATGCTATGGGGGCAATTGGCTAGCAATCTGTAAAGATGAGAAGCAAGACCCCATCTGTCACCTTATACAAAAATAAGCTCTAAATGGATCAGGGACCTAAATCTGCACCCAGAAACCAGCAAACTACTAGTGGAAAGTGTAGAAAGCACTCTCTAAGATATAGGAATGGGATAAGGCTTCTCAGAAGAGACACCAAAAGCACAGGTAGTCAGAGCCAAAATAAACAAATGGGACTACAACCAACTAAGAGGTTTCTGTACAACAAAGGAAGCAATAAAGTGAAGAAGCAATCAATGGAATGGGAGAAAATCTTTGCATACTACACAAGTGATAGGGGACTAATATCCAGGATTTATAAAGAGCTTCAGAAACTCAATGACAGCAAAACAAACAACACTATGAAGAAATGGTGAAGGAAATGAACAGATATTTTTCAAAAGAATAAATTCAAAAGGCTAATAGATGAAAAAAAATGCTCAGGCTCCCTAGCTGTCAGAGAAATACAAACAAAAAGCACATTGAGGTTCCACCTAACTTTAGTGAGGTTGGCCTGCGTTTAGAACTCTACTAACAACACCTGCTGGTTGTGGGGAGAAAGTTACCCTTCTTTGCTATTGTTGAGAGTGTAGGCTAATACAACCACTATGGAAGTCAGTATGGAGAGAGCTAAGAGAAAATAGATCTCCCATATGACCCAGCTATCCCCCTTCTAGGAATACATCCAAAGGAAGTGAAGGCTGCATAGGAGAACGGAATCTGTAATTCTGTATTTATAGCAGCATAATCTACAATTGCAAAGACATGGAAACAACCAGGATGCCTGTCAAAAGAGGTGTGGATAAAGGAACTGTGGTACATCTATTTAATGGGATATCATTCAGCCATTAGAAAGAATGAAATTCTACTATTTGCAACAAAATTGTCCCAACTAGAGACCGTTTGGCTCAGTGAAATAAGTCAATCCCAAAAGGACAAATATCATATGTTTTCTCTGATATAAAGCAGCCTCCTTGCAAAATACAAGATCAACAGCCTTTTCAGTGTTGCTTTTGCTGCATCTCATGGGTTTTGATATTTTTGTTTTTATTTTCATTTCTTCAAAATAGTTTCTTTTCTGTTATTAAGTCTTCACTGACTCATAGGTCATACAGTAGTATCATTTTCTCTAAGAAGAGGTTTTTTTATTTTCTTTTTCATTTCTTCAGCAACATATTAGTCACTCAGGAGCATGTTATTTAACTTCGTGGCATTGTAAATATTTTTTTAGTTTTATTCCTGTTGTTGATTTTGTTTTATGGCTTTTCATTTAAGGGAATATATAGTAAGTATGTAATAGAGACTATTATATCCAGATGTGAAGATAAAATACAGCATGCGTCTCGACTTCCAAATCAAGGATAGACTCCCAAACTGTTAAATATATCTTGATAATAAGGTGCTGGACTTTCTGCCATTGTCCACACCCATAATGTCAGGATGCACTTAAATAGCAGAATGATGGACTTAGGACTGCTTAAGAAGAACTATGCTATTGTGATAAAAAAAGGGGAAATCAGTTGGCTGGGAGGAGGGTTGGAAAGAGGAGAAGAGAAATCCCAGAGCCTATGGAATTATATCATAAAAAATTTTTAAATGATTAAAAAATAGAGAGAGATTGGACTTTTGGAATCAGTTCTGTTTTTGTTTTATTTTGTTTTAAGATTTATTTTTTCCCCCATTGGAAAGGCAGATATACAAAGAAGATAAGAGGCATAGAGCAAGATCTTCCATCCACTGGTTCACTCCCCAAGTGACTGCAACGGCCAAAGCTGAGCTGATCCAAAGCCAGGAGCCAGGAGCTTCTTTTGAGTCTCCCACACTGGATGCAAAATCCCAAGTCTTTGGGCCGTCCTCCACTGCTTTCCCACAGGCAGAGAGCCGGAGATGAAGTTGAGCAGCCGGGACTCAAATCGGTATCCATATGGGATCCTGGCGCATGCAAGGGGAGGACTTTAGTCACTAGGCTACACGCCTCTCTGTATTTCTATCCATCATTTACTTTTCATTTGTGCACATCCTGCACATTGTCCCTTGCAGTTGTTTGATTTTGGCTGGTCATGCTTCTTAAAAACGTCACTGCCTCTGACTACTTGTCCTGGTGCTGATGTGATCCTTCGTCAATATTCAGAAATAGAAATGTTCTCTTCTCATCTGGGTAAGTGAATCTATCTCTTTAATGTAATGGATTTCTCTGTTATATTAAAAATGTATTAAAGTGAACGTCCTACTCCCTTCTGTTGCAGGCACTGCTGCTAACGTGCGGCAGTCCTTCTGGTCTTCTTTCTATGTAGATACAAATAGATCTCTGGCAGGAGGTGCATCCTAGGCTTTTACCCATCACTCCACTCTCACCTGTGACCTGTCTCTTACTGAAGCCGCGTTTGTCCAGTGGCTGCAGGGCATCCCGCTTTCTGCATTGACCATGTTGTAGTCAAGCATTCCGCCCACTAATGCGTTTATAGGCTACTTTCCCATTTGCTGTTTCCACCATTCAAACCCCTGCCACAGTGGTATCTCTGTAGGTATCTTCAGGCCTCTGAGCTTCTATTTCTGTAGAATCAATTCCTGTTGCTGAATCATAGCGCGCACTCATTTAAAATCTTAAAATATTCTGCCAATTGCTCTTTAAAAGGGCCTTACCTAGCTATATCCCAGCAACAAAAATGCAAGAACATTCTTGCTCCTCGCCTTTGATCCACCAATGACCCTGATCTTTTTTTTTTTTGTAATCGATGAGATTTGGTGACTTACGATTTTACATAATATTTCTGTATTGTCCATGTCAGCATTTTCTCTTATATTTATGGTCTTTCTATATTTCATCTTTATTTTTGTGAGTTGCCATTCTTATCATTTGCCCAACTTCCCATGTCTTCCTGCTGATTTGTAGGAACCTGTGTCTTACACATTGTAAATGTTTTCTCTCAGTCTTTGCATTTAGTGTAGATCTTAAACTCCATAAAGTAACGTTTCAAGTAAAATTATGGCTGTTAAATTCATCCATGCCTCATTTATGTGACTACTACACTTGGATCTGCCTAGTCCATGGGAGGTCCCCAAAAGCAACTTTTTGGAAAAAACATCAACCAAAATTTTTTTCCAGAAACTCATTCTGTTCAACATATCTTAGCTCAAAAGTTCACTTCCTTAGAAAACCCTTCTCTGATGGTCAAACCCTAAGCAGTCCCTCCAAGTCTTGCCTCCCTCCCATGAAACCCCCAAGACTACCCTGTCCATTGGTCTGTGACTTTGTTCCTCGGTCTCTAGACCCTTTGCTGGCTTGTGCATGGCTGTGGCCTCAGTCCCTGGACCTTAGCTGATTTGTGCATGGCTATTGGCACCAGCCGTGGAACCTTAGCTGACTTGTGCATGGCTGTGGCATCAGCCCCTGGAATATTTGCTGGCTTGTGCGTGACTGTGACCTGGAACCTCGTCTGCACAGAGAGACTGGAGCACTAACAATCCCTAAATTGGTGTCAGGTGAGTGATGGGTTTTCAGATTCTATCTTAACCTTTTGAAAATTGCTACTTGGGTCTGATGTTTTAAAAAATTATTTGGGGTAAATACAATGGTATTAGCTCTTCGTTTGCTTCATAACTTTTTATAAAACCCTACTGATATTTTTTAAATGTCTGTGTATTTATTTGAAAGACCTAGGATTACAGAGAGAGGGCAAAAAGAGATAGACACACACACACACACACACACACACACACACACACACACAGAAAGAGAGTGGGAGGTAGAGAGAGAGAAATCTTTCATCTGCTGGTTCATTTCCCAAATAGCCACGTGACCAGGGCTGTACTAGACAGAAGTCAGGAGCCAAGAATTCCATCCAAGTCTCCTAAGTAAGTGGCTGGGGACGAAAGTTCTTGGGCTAGCCTTCACTGCCTTTCCTAGAGCATTAGCAGGCACTGGGTTGGAGGTGAAGCAGCTGGAGCACAAACTAGTGCCCTTCCAGAATGCAGCGTCTCAGTAGCTTTACTTGCTAAGCCACAACGGGGGCCCTAACCTCTGATATGCTTGCCTGATTACTCCTGTATCCAACATGTCACTTCCATAAAAATAAAGTGAACATTTTAATTGATACTGAATTGACTCTTTTTTAAAAACTTATTTTTATCTGTACTACATTCTGCCTTCCCAAATAGCATTCAAGTTTAGCTTTCCAAATATTCATGTTTCTCTTGATTTCAG